GTTAGGAATCGAAACGGTATTTGGAAGGCCATATAATTTACCTCAATTCAGGATAGACTCTTGAATTTTGAAGAGTTGAAATAGGATGAACGGATCATATAAACCCGAAGGCAAATATAATACAAGCTCAAAACGAAAAAATATAAACAAGTCTATATATATATATATATATATACATAACTACTCTAAATATCAGCACAACAATGTTACATCTGCAAATTTTCGAAAGAAAATTTTTGTTCTTCCCTCGCCGGGATTCGAACTCATGCTATTGGGATATCGAGACAGCACCGCCTGCACTGCGTCCATCGCTCTAAAACACTCGGCCACCTAGACTGAAAATAATTCAGATCTCGGTGGCCTAGTGTTACCTTTCCTCGTCAGTAGAATCTAGAGTTGTAACACAGTACATGATATATTAGGCATGAAGATGGAATTGATTGCAGATTAGCTAAATATCTATCGTAAAGGATAGTAAGATGCAGTCACAGAAATAATTATTTTGATAAGTACGTCTAAACAAGTGACAACTCTACGACAAATCCATCTATATATATATATATAACACGTCAAGATATTAGTCAACGATCTTTCTTACGAGGGCGCTGGATCGATACGAGTAACGATACATGTACACAATAAATAAATTATATAAACGCCTAAAAAGTGTACAAAACAAAACCAATATCAAAAAAAGGAAACAATAAATGTAAGTATCTATAAATACTTCAGATATCAGATATCCTTAATCAGTATGATTATGATGTAAAATGAATCATGTCAATAGGTATATATACATAACTACTCTAAATATCAGCACAACGATGTTAAATCTGCAAATTTGCGGCAAATGGACAATAGTGGACACCTTTGACCCGCTTATAACTATAATCGTTAATTTCATAAAAAAACATGAGGACAGTTTATGACAAACAGAATACAAAATACATAAAATATATATATAACAAATTTAGTTCAAGGGACCCTTTTCCTCAATTACATTGGCCGTTTAAAAAGAAACCTAGACTTCGTACCTGCAGAAAGTTTGTTGGATTAAGAACATATTATAAATATGAAAATAAGAAGATGTGGTATGATTGCCAATTAGACAACTCTCCACCAGAGACCATATGACATAGAAGTTGACAACTATAGGTCACCGTAAGGCCTTCAACAATGAGGAAAACTCATAGTCACCTATAAAAGTTCTTGTAATTACATATGCAAAACAATTCAAACAAGCAAACTAACGGCATGATTTATTTGCCAAACAATAAACGAAAAACAAATATGCTATACAGCAACAAACGACATGAACTGAATTTACCCCCATGACATGTGACAGGCACCTACAGAATGTAGCGGTATATGTAGACGAAACGTGTATCTGGCGAACAATATTAAACCTTGTATCTTTGGTGAATTTTTAAATTTTAGACGCTGTCTGTTTAAAACACGTCCACCAAACGAAACAAATATTTGTTTAATAAAACAAAATCAAGACGTGTTAAGAAACTTTCTCTTTGAATCAGAGTTCTCTTTAAAAAAAAAAAAGGGGTATTTGCCTTTGGCACTGTCGACGCCGCAAGTGCAACTCAATTTTAGAGATCATGTGATATCCAAATGTGTTTGTATATATCTGGAAACTACTCATTTTACAAGGAATTTTAACGCTTGCATTTTTATAATTTAAAATAAATTCCATTGAAGTAATTAATTTCCCACAAGCACTGAACTCGACAATTATTTGTTATTTTATAAAATATTTGGATAACAAGATCTGTTATAAATGTGTCCTGATTTTTTTTGCAAAAACATCATTTGACGTTAAATCTGGTGTTAGCACTACAACCACATTTGGTGAAACCTGATCATATATTTGGATATTTCGATATCTGACACATTCAGCTCTGTCAATACATTTTCTGACAAAACTACTTAACGTTAGAAAAAAACCCATAGTTTAATAGGTTTCGCAAACATCATACACATGAATGTCTTCTTTTCCATGTGTTCCCAAAAGATTCAAAAATAAAGGCAAAAGATACCAAGGGATATTCAAACTCATAAGACGAAAACAGACTGATAATGCCATGGCAAAAAACAAAAAAACGACGAAAAGACAAACAACAGTACACAAAACACAACATAAAAAACTAAGGACTGAGCAACATGAACCCCACCAAAACCCGAGGGGTGATCTCAGGTGCTCCAAAAGGGTAAGCAGATCCTACTCCACATGTGTCATCCGTCGTGTTACTAATGTAAGTAACATTAACACGATTAGGTAGACTAACATGTCAGCTGTTGGCTTATCAGAGCATTCGGAGCATCCAACAGTCTAAGCGCTTGTATTACGCTACACTCAAACGTCTATTAACAAAGTGTTGTAGTCAGTTGAGAACCAGCTTACCAACAGGCTCAAGCAGATCTTTGCATGGCGGGTGATGCATGCAAAACAGAAGACGCTTACCCTGTCGACGCACTCGATATTGCTTCTTGTGGAGTTTATACGATTCCTTCAGGTTAAGTGTGTTACCTTAACTTGTTTCTTCTTGATTGATTTTGTATATTTGTATCTCAACCAAACACGGCATTGTATGGTGAAAACCATGATATAGATGTTAATATGATGCCTTGTGACAGGAGAGTGTCGCGATCTCTGCACGCTAAGAACTCTGACTGTTCCGTGGTCTGTTGGAAACTCTCTGGTCCCTATCCAACATACCTTCATTTCAAGTGGTGTTCGAAATTCCTGCCCTTTATCCGCCTCAATCCATTGCAAAACTTACCGTTTTGATTTATTATCAATTTGTTCTTGTCCTAAATATGCATGAAATATTTGCTACTGAGCGCAAACAAACAGCAATCAGTCAAACAAAAAACATTCATTTTTAGCTCCACATACTAATCATTAGTAGGTTTTTTTTTGCAAGATATTGTGGTCATATGTATCTCAATGGTTTCCTTTTTGCTATAAATTACCTAAAACTTAACAGGCAATTTGCTGAATTTTGTCATTTTACAGATTGAATAGGTATTTTTTGTCATTTTATATAATGCCTTTTTATAAATTGTCTGAAAATTCAGTCCTTTTACAAAATGCTTAAATTTAGAAAATGCCTGTAACATATATTAATTGTAGCAGAAAAGTTCTCAACCTGAGCTTGTGTGCATATAAAATTTGATGTTGGATGAAAGCAGTTATTTATAATTTTGTATCCCTTGTTAATGCCATATTGAATAGTGTCTCCATTAGTAGTAATAGCCCTTCCATGAACATGACAAATACAATATAAATATTTATTTTAGCGAGTTTTACTTTGGGGTTACCATCTTATCCAGGCATTCACACCACATCCAATGGCATTTTATTTACAGGCATTTGTTTTTTAGAAAAAAAATATAACTAAATACAACGCTTGTCTCTGAAAAACTTTGTAAACATACATCACAAACATACAACACAACTGACTAAAAATTCAATCAAGCATAGAAATAAATTTGACAAAGACGCCAACAAGAACGTGTTTGTAGTTGATGTACATACAGTATTTAATATACATGCACACTTTCTCGATAATATACAAATTCAGTTAAATATAAATACAAGAGTAAACAAAATGATAATAACACATTAGAAACCTCTGGCGTCCGAATTGTACCTCTGGACCCGATAGCTGGACAATTATTATTGTGGAATAAGTGATGTACACAATATTATATCCATACAAATGAAATGTAAAGTACCAACAAACAATCAAGAATTAAAATGCTTAAGAAGTTATAAAAATGGCCAAATGATGTTTGTGATCTAAAGGTTGAGACTGAACACGAATGCGGCCACTTACGGTACATTTTAGACAAAAACCAATTGAAAAGTGACGTTTTATGGCATATTTGATAGATTTTTCATATTTAAGCTTGAATTTGAGCGTCTTTATATATGTCATGTATTATCATCAAATACAACATATATTTAAATATTAAGACTGAACACAAATGTGGCCACTTCCATTTTAGACAAAAACCGTCTTAAAATGAGCACAAATGCTAAAATTGTGAAGATTTCAGTAATATTGCATGAATTTATGATGCTATTACCTGATGCATGTGCATTGTATTGTCAAAAACTGCCCATATTTATGGAACAGAAGTATTCTTCTTTCCAATAAATAGCTAAAAGTTTACATTTTAACAAATTTGTAAAATTGCTATATTTTAGGGCCAAAAAGGGATCTTACCGGGCCTACTCCTTTATGATTTTACTTATCATGATGATGTTAACAAAATGTACTCAGATTTTGAAGATAAATTCACGTAGACTGTTGACAATCATACCCCTATGAAAAACAAAGCCATGTCAACACCAATCAGCATTCATAGATAAGGAACTAAGAAGAAGTTTATAAAAAAGACAACTATATAATAAAAATAAAAAGTAATTAGGAAAACTATAGACAACAAAAAAATCTGGTAACTAAAATTAAGAAAAAATCTATTAAAACTTATTTCTACACTGTAAATCTAAGTGTTAATAAACAGAACACTACTTGAACGCATTTTTGTAACACTTTTTGAACGTGTAATGGTGTTCCAAATGTTTACACTAGTGTTCATCAATTGAATGTGTGGTGTTCAGTTTTTAATGCCTTTGTGTTTCATTTTTGAACACTTGATGTTAGAGTTCTTAACACTCAATGTTCAACGATTTAACGTCTCCGAATGTTCAAAATCTTAACACGTCGACGGGTTCAACAGCCCTGTAACACTTTTTGAACACATAGAACAGGTTCAAGAACAAAAGTGTTAAGATTCAGAACACCAGATGTTCACTTTCAGAACAGTTGACTAAAGTGTTCAAAGTGATGGTGTTTAAATGTGGAACATGTTCTATTTTCAAGCGTACATAATTTTCCGTAAGTACTCAACTTAAACTGTTATAAAAACTATATTCAATTTAGGCAAAATATAACAATAAATACATCTTTTAACGAGTATTTTTTTATGTAATCAAATGAGCATATATGAATGAAAAGTACATTATATACCTTATGATATAAGTATAACAGTCCGTGAAATCACATACATTTTGAAAAAAAACAGACTTAAATATATTACAAATAATGATTTTCCCTGCATTATTAGATCGTTACTACATCCTCTGTATCCTAACCAAAAAAAGCATGTTAATGTGATAGGTGAACAGTTTATAATATAAATATTTTTCACAACGAAAGTTTCAAAAATACAAATTCCAACAGTTCTTGTACAACATGTACAATAGCAACTTCAACTTTTCGGTGCATCTTCTCTTAAAGCTATCAACTGGGTGGCATTTTATGTGTTATTATCATTTTCCAATGTCAAAATCATCCACAACAAGGAATGTATATGAGCCTATATGTCCTGCAAAATAAAATTTAAAATTAATAGAAGAGAGTTTTTCATAAAGCATCAAATTATGCAATGCTTGTTATGCTTTAATGTTGATATATAATAGAGTACAAATTGATATTCTATGGCAATGAAATGCAAGTTTTGAATTAAAAATTACAAAAGTCGATAACTTGACCTAAGGTGAACAGATAGAAATGATACACCCAAATAAGCTATTAATATACATATATTGTCATACCTTTTTTGACATGTTTCTATTTTTCCACCACTTTGTAGCATGCAGAAATTACCTTCTTGGTATTATTGGCTACCGGTTCCTAATTCAAACATTTCAATCTAACGATTCCTGCAAATAAAATAAAACGAATGCATTTTCTAAGTCAAAAATGGTGTTCCAAATGTTTACAACAGTGTTCACCAATTGAATGTGTGGTGTTCAGTTTTTAATGCATTTGTGTTTCATTTTTGAACACTTGATGTTAGAGTTCTTAACACTTAGTGTTCAACTAATTATTGAGGTTGTCGAAAATCATCAGTTATTCTGTATAACAGACAGACTGGTTATTCATCTGTTTAGGAAATCATCAGAACAAAGCTGACAGTTATTTACGTTTATATCTAAAGCCCGTTCTTTAATTCGTCTTTTATGTTGAATATTGAAATTTTGGATATAACAGTTATGAATATTTTACACACACACATATATATATATATATATATATATATATATATATATATATGGCATGAGAAAATAACAAGGAAGCCATCGAACTATATATGGAGATTATTCTAAATTACTCACTTCTTTCGTTTTCATGTGGGATAGAAGTCCGTTCTCCAGTTCTCTTCTTCATGTGTATCTATTCTTCTTTTAACCGACTAAATCGCCAGCCGATATCTGTTTCCGGTATTTGGTATCCTGGTATATTTTTTTAAACACGAGATGTTCAAAATTTCGAGCGATTTGAACACTGATTAAACATGTAATGTTAATAAAACGAACGGATCATGAAGTAAGATAAACATCGACACACTTTTATTACGATATTATCATAACAGGCCTCATTGATATGCATAATTATGTCACTTATAAGTAAAACTTGTAATACATTCATAAACTATACATATATGCCAGCTTGAAAGTTTTATATTTCACAATTACTAAAATATTAGCCAAAAATTCACACGATCAACATCCTGCGTATACATTCATATTTTTTAAAGAATTTCTTTTTGAATTTGCCAATTGGAAGGATAGAAAATCGGACAAACGACTATCTTCATTTTTAGAACAGAACTTGAACACCGGTGTTCACTGCGTCTGAACACAGATGTTTAAAATATTTTTAACACAAACGTTAAAACTTTGAACACGTCTCTAAGCATGAACATATGACGTTAAAATATTGAACATTCGGTGTACAAATTTTGAACGCGTCAGGCGTCCGGTATATTTACAGTGTATGAAAGATGTATAGCCGGTCCCAAATTAAAAGACTTTTAGCCAACAATAAAACCTTTTTAACCAATAATTGTAATTTTATGTGAAAAAGATGAAATTATAAATAATCAAAATAAAGTAGCAGAATGTTTTATTAAATGATTTCTATATAAATGTGGCAACATTAATTGGAAATGATACTGCTGCAGATAATAACCATCGTATTATCATAACATTTATAACAAAAAGAAAAAAGAAACTCCTGATCTTGAATTTAAAGAAATATCTGAATGATTTAAACGAAACAGTGTTAAAAAGCCACAGGAAGAGATGGAATATCAGCTAAACTAAAATTAGCAAAAGTCATTCCTGAACCAATAAAAAACATGATAAATAAAAAATATCAAATTCTGTTTTTCTCAGATAGACTCAAATAAGCACAGTATGTCCCAAAACACAAGAAAAAAGGGCACTTGACAAGACTAACTATAGGTCGGTAAGCATGGTAAGCTATCTACATATCTAATTTATATCTAGTTTCTAAACTTTTTGGGCGAGCCATTTACAATCAACTAGCAGAGTATTTTAATAAACATTTCCACACATTTTTATCAGCATTCAGATCAGGATACAGTTGCCACACAACACTATTGAAAATAATTATAATTGAAGACTGGAAAAAGCACTAAAATAAAATAAATACATTGCAGTTGTACTAATGGACCTATTAGAAGCATTTGACTGTTCACCACACAATCTACTACTACTTAAACCAAAAACATATGGAGTATCCGAATCAGCATTCCAATTGATTGAAAATTACCTTTCAAACAGGAAACAGTGTGTGAAAGTCGGAACAGCACTAAATAACTAGCAAAACATACTTACTTACATGACATGATTTAAATTAGAGATACAAAATATTGTTTAAGGTACCAGAACATTACAGAAATTCCTTCAGTACGAACGACAATGCATGGGCTTAAATCATTTCGATATGCTTCTGCTAAATTATGGAACGAGTTGTATGACCACTTTAGATCACGAACATCACTTGGCCAAGGATCCATTCTCTTACTTACGTGACATGATTAAAATTAGAGATACAAAATATTGTTTTAGGTACCAGAACATTACACGAGTGCTTATTTAAGCCAGTTAAAAAATTTAATAAACTTATGGAATGTCAACTCGTACCACTGCAATGCTTGCTGTTAAAATTTATTTTCCAAATGCATGAATCAATATTTGACTGTTTTATTGTGATATGCAATCAAATAATGTGCTTTAATTATTTTAGTGCTTGAGCTTAATGCAAGCAAATTAGTTTTTTACTGCTTGAGCTTAATACATGCAAAATAGTTTTTTACTGTTTGAGCTTAATGCATGCAAAGTAGTTTTTTACTGCTTGTGCTTAATACTTGTAGATCAGTTTTTTTACTGCTTGAGCTTAATGCAAGCAAATTAGTTTTTTACTGCTTGAGCTTAATGCATACAAAATTAGTTTTTTACTGCTTGAGCTTAATGCATGGAAATTAGTTTTTTACTGCTTGGGCTTAATGCATGCAAATTACTTTTTTACTGCTTTAGATTTGTGCATAATATCTTGGTGCTTTAGCTTAGTGCATGCATATATTGTTTTAGTGCTTCAGCTTAGTGCATGGATATTTTGTTTTAGTGCTTTAATTAGTTTAGTGCATGAATATATTGTTTTAGTGTTTTAGCTTAACACATACAATAAACGTGTTTTACTTTGATCTCTTTTAAATGCTTGAAATGACTTGTGCATGACATTTATCTATGGACATATGTTTTGGCTTTGAAATGTATATGTTTGATCTATATATCGTGCATATATTGTCTTATGTGTGTAATGTGTATGTATGTGTAGTATCTATATCGGTTTTAAAAGCTCTAATGAGCTTATGCTAGTAATGTTATATATACATGTATGTACCAACTCTAAATCTAGCTTTGAATTGAATTGAATGAATTGGATACATAAATACCGAGTCACGCCGAGACCCAAACGACCAAAAGGAACATAATAGCACGAGACAAATAAAGAGAAAACTGTAAAGTAAAAAAATGATACACAACTTCAGCACCTTGAATCTATAACTCGAGACCAACTTGTATTATTTGTGAAGTAGATATTTATATAAATATTAAATTTTTATTTTGGTACTTTCCGATGAACTTTTTGAGGAAAAGAACGAGACGTTCTTTGACAAAACCCTGGCTCCGTAATTTTTTGCAGAGGCCCGATGGCGTTTTACAAAGTCTGAGTAGCAGCTGCAAGCTCTTGAATATCGTATGAAGTGAGAAATGAATAGTCCATACGCGGGTGAAATTGGTATATTGCTGCTTAGGTGAGGTAAATTTACAATTTCAAAATTGAAATCGTCTCGTTTGTCATAAACTCTGGTAATGAGATGACTGCTGCAGTCAAAAAAGGTATATGTCTAGAAATTAAGCAGGGAAGCTGTATCTGTGGTTTCTTTAATCTCTAGTTCAGGAGAACATATTAAATGGAGCCAATCTAAGTTTGGATTGTTGATGGAAAGAATTTCAGCAATATACCTGTATGTGAAATTAAATGATAAATGATTCTTTATAATCTTCTTGTATTTACAAGTGTTTGGAGGAACTCCGACTCATATGAAATTAACAAAAGGTCGGTCAGGAGAGGTGCACACATATGCTGACAATGAGAAATCCAGCATACGGTGTAGCATGTTTTATTTTCGGTACACACTTAAGTGCGATCTGCAGGAAGGCATCACGACATCTGAATATAGGTCCATGCATATCTAAATAGACTAAGCAAATTTACTATTTTTCACATTTAAATACAGAGTTATTTTAACTTTTGTCCTTTGAAATGACATTTTTTTGACATTGGAAAAGTAATTTATGTTAGTAATATATGTGTAAATATATATAGCTTGTTTTTATGTATTTTCAGAATCAAAATAAAAGTGTTTTCTTCTTTTGTCGTCTTCTTTTATCTGATCTTGTCTCATATAAAATCAAATGTTTGGTAAGCCAAATATATTTAAATGTTTGGTTTATCATAAGCAACTGGACCTAACACAAACTGAACATCCAAATCAGTCTAATCGTCTCAGTTATCTCTATTGTTAAAGCTTGCGGCAAGGGAGACAATTTTTCATTCCATATTTTTGGTTTTCCTTTTTCGGACGACAATGGTATTATGGCACCTTCATGCGGTATGCCTGTTTCCCTGATCATTCCCTGTTTCCTTAATTGTCTTTGGTGTTGTTTTGGATTGAAGTGAACGTAGTATATGTGTGGTTGATAGGTTGTTGGGTCATGGATCTCTCTACAACGGGTTGCTTGAAACCTTTACATGGTTCTTTCATTGATGCAAAGGTTTGTTTTTGGAGGTTTGGCTGGTCCTGTTTATGCGCTGTTGCAAACAGGATGGCATGTCCTGCTTTTTGCAGTGTTATTGTTTATGGAATCCGTGGACTTGGGTGCGATCCGTGTAAACTTGTTGGTCCTTTGAATAGACTTATTCTTATAGGTTGTCAGTTGAACATTGTAGGGCATGGGGTCATTTAACCCAATTTATTTTATAGAGGTCAAAGCCAATTAATCTTTGCAAATAATGAAATAATTATGACGTCTTGAATGCCTATTTTTATTTTAGGTGCTTGACCCCTTCCTTGAAGATTTGCTTACATCCTGGTCCTTTGGACTTTTGGTGGATATATATCCCATTGGCACACCACGTCTCCTTATTTTCATAAGGCTCGGAGGAATTGTACACGATGAAGATGCTGCATAAGTATCTTCCAGTCTCTCAAAATCGCTCATTACCAGAAATCGGCAACCATTTTGCTTTCAGGCCATCACTCCGAGGTATGTGCTGTTGGTGACATCATTTCTGCTGATTTCAGAGTGGAGAAATATAATGTGTATCATTCAATTTGTTCGGCGATAATTAGAAAAGTTATTTTAGCAGACAAGTGTAAATATCTGTAACTTTTCGTGTGATAATGGCGGTTTTTGTTACAAATACTTTTTCTAACTTCTGACTGCCAATTATTTCATATCACTTATATATTACATATCAAGTCAAGCACACATACAATTAAACATAGAAAGCATCAGCATTGCAAATTTTTGTTGTTGACTTGTAGTGCTTCATATTTTGCATACATACAACACAAAAGTTCTATCGAGCAGCGTAAAACACACACTGAAACATGCACTTATGGGGTAAAACACAAAAGCAAAAGTAAAAGAATTTGCAGCATAAAAAAGCTTGTAGAGATAAGTTAAGTAACTAAAGTAAGCACATAATAGCAGAAGCACTACAAGTCAACAACAAAAATTTGCAATGCTGAAAGGAAAAAAAATTGCCATGCTAAAAACAAAGCATTTAACTAAAAACAATGAGCAGAAATTAACAGGTTTTGTAGGCGAAACATTGGCATGAGATGCCAGACCAAGAATTTATCAAGTTCCTGAATTGATTTAAAGATGATTGCTCATGCGGGTCATCTGGCAGCTCATTCCAAAGTTTGGTACCCCCATACCTTAAAAGATTGTAGGCCATGTGCAGTTGTTCTCACGTGTGTAGCTACTAGGACTGCTGTATAGTGGTATCTAAAAGAGTATAAGAGTGGCAATATAATTCATGAAGATAAACAGGACATTCTTTATTAATAATTTTGAAAACTTCAATAGCCGGAAATGCTCTTATTCTTCAAATTTTTAAAGCTGGTAATTTTTAAAGCTGGTAATTTTTATTTGCAGAGTAGATCTTCATAACTTTGCTGAATAGTCTCTATAAATAAATCATGGCTTAATCAGTACAACTCTCTTCTTCTTCTTCTTCTTTTAGGTCAACAAGGCTTCAATACTGAAGAATACATGTTGTTGCGCATGCGTGATTGACAAAAAAAAATTTTTTTTTTTTTATATGAATTAATAAAAATATTTACTAACAATTTAAGTGTTTGTATATACAGATTGTGATTAAAAAATATGCAATTTATGTACATGTTTTGGTTTGGATTTGTTTATCTGAAGCTAGAGAGAACAGCTGGTGTTAGCTGATCTCTAATACTGTCAACAGTGGCGGTTTCAATAACAGTTTGTGGTAGTAAGTTCCACTGAATAATTGTTCGCGGGAAGTACGACCATTTGTATGTGTCCTTGGAAGTTTGTATGTGTCTGTATGTCTGAGTATGGTTTTGTCTTGTTCTGCTGTCTGTTTGTTCAAGAATATGCGATGGAATGGCTACAAGACAGTGTATTACTTTGTAAAATAAAATAAGTCTGGTTTTTAGGCGTCTCTCAGCTAGTGGTGGCCATTTCAACTGATTTAGCATGTTTGTGACACTGCTCGTGTAATCGTAGTTGTTGTGTACATAACGAGCAGCTCGTCTCTGCACATTTTCTAATTTTGTCTGTTGATCTTTCATATGGGGGTCCCAGACACTACAACTATATTCTAGTTTGGGTCTTACTAGTGCCTGGTATGCTCTTGATTTTATTTCTGTGTTAGTAACTTTTAAATTTCTTTTTAAAAAACCAAGTGATCTGTTCCCATTTGATACTATACTGTCTATGTGCTTGTTCCACTTAAGATTGGATTGTAAGGTGATGCCGAGGTATTTTGCAGATGTTACTGATTCGAGAATGTGATTGTGGAGGATGTAATTATGCCGGTAGTTATTTTTCTTTTGTGAGATGGTAAGGTTGGTACATTTATCAGGGTGAAATGCCATGAGCCAATCTGACTCCCATCGTGATGCTGAGTCTAGATCTAGTTGCAGTTTATGACAATCATCCTGTGTTTTTATTTCCCTGTAAATTATGCTGTCATCTGCAAAGAGTCTTAGCTTGCTATGTTGTAAATATTCAGGTAGGTCATTTATATAGATGAGGAACAGTATTGGGCCCAATACTGTTCCTTGTGGTACACCAGATGTTACGGGTACTGAGGTGGAAGAAATGCCATTGATGACGACTGTTTGTGTTCTGTCGTGTAGAAATGCCTGAATCCAATTTAGTGTGTTATTTTCAATACCATAGTAGTTGAGCTTGTATAGGAGGCGACGATGTGAGACTTTGTCGAACGCTTTAGCGAAGTCCATTATGATTAAGTCAGTTTGTGTGTTGCTATTATTTGTTTGTGCTAGTTCTTGAATAAAATCTATTAACTGTGTTTCACACGACCTTGATTTTCTGAAGCCATGCTGAAGATCGTATAATATATGATGTTTTTCTAGATGAGACATGATACTACTTGTAATGATATGCTCCATGAGCTTACAACATATGCAGGTTAAAGATATTGGCCTGTAATTTACGGGTTTGTATTTTTCCCCTTTTTTGAAGGCTGGGGCTACATTAGCATGTTTCCAGTCCTTAGGTGTTTCTCCAGTTTCAAGCGACTTTTTAAATATTAAGGTAAGGATTGGTGAGATTTGTTCCTTTAGTTCTTTAAGGACACGGCCATTGATATTGTCAGGGCCGCAAGCTTTATGTGGATTAAGGTTCGACAGTAATTTTGTAATACCTGATTCGTTGATTGTTATCTTTGGCATTTGTGGGTGGGGGCTTCTGCCTTTGTCTGGGATGTTATCATCTGTTTCGTTTGTAAATACTGATTGGAACTGTTGATTTAAAATGTTCGCTTTTTCATCAGTGTCTGTAATGAGTTTACCATCTTTTTTCAGAGGTGCAACACCACTGTTATCAGATCGTGTGCTTTTGATGTAGCTGAACAAACTTTTTGGTTTTGATTTTGATGTTTCATATTGACCAGGTTCGTTTATTGGTATATCACAGATCATTTTTTCAATATATTTCCAATATTCTGTACGTAGTTCTTTTTGTACTGTTTGTTTCAACTTTTTGTATTTTTCTGGATCTTTCTTCCTTTTTCGATAAGCTTTGTTTTTCTTGTTTATAAGCTTACGTAGTTTGTCTGTTACCCAAGGTAATCTATGTTTGTATGTGATCATTTTGTGTGGTACATTTTTTTCTATAGATTTTATGAGGTCTATCTTAAAATTTTCCCACAATTCATCTACATTACTGAGTTTGTATTTTTCTTGTATTGTTGTTAATATTTCTCTCTCTTGAATTTTCTCAATCTTTTTTCTTAGCAAATAATTAAGAAAATGCCTTATGTAGCCGATTTATGGTTACGGGTGGATATAAACCAGAGGCATATACATGAATTATTTGTCTCGGTTCATATCAAGCGTGTACATACATTGAATGTTACATACTTGATTTACTCGACCATGTTTTTTCCAAATCAGTGTACTGTAACAGCTTTTGTAAAAATATTTTATAATGAAGTGAAATATAAATACGTGTATATGCATTGTTTGTTTGACAGTTATTTTCTTTTTACCTTAACCTTAATAGACGAAGGATTCAGTATCATATGTCGTTCGTTTTCTTTTTGCTGTTGTGGTATTATGACGTATCAAGCTATTTTTAGCGTTTTGGAGTTTCCCCAAAGGACGATAATGATTCCCCGTTTGGTGCCACGAATATAAACAAATGTCGATGAAATAGGACTGGATATGTCTGATTATCCTCAAGATGAATACTATATACTCCTTACTACAAAGATAGGAAAAAAGAAAGAGTCAGGAATTCTTAGAAAATCATATTCTCGTGTGGAAGTCCTAGCAGGCACACTTCTGCTTAGAGTAAGCGATAGTGAGAGGGACGAAAATGGGATTGCAATTTGGACCTTAGAAACATTAGAACCGGAAAATATTGAAGTAGAATGTAAACCAGTATTCGATGAAATAAAACAAATTGATCGATTGGAACTACAATTATTACAGCCGATCCCAGTATGTAGTGAAAGGATTGCAGTTTACATGAACAGTAATTGGCTTCAAGAGGGCCTCAATTTAAAGGTTGGAGATGGAGTTATTGTTTATTTAAAAGGTCACCCTGAGTTACAGGGCCTTCTCAGGTATAGAGGAGAGCTACCAGGACAAAAAGGAATCCAATTTGGAGTAGAATTAGCACCGGTAAGGAGCCCTATCCTAAAAATATTTCAGAGGTTTATCATAAAATACTAAAAGCAGAATAGCATCGGACAATAATATCCGGATTTCGGGATATAAAATACAAATATTTTTAATTTTCTGCACATGTCTCTCTGTCAAACATGTTTTCCAACCATATGAAGTGAGTAACATAACTCTTTCCTTGATTATGAAAGATTTACAAAATGATTTTTGGTTATTTAAACAAAACAAAAATTATAGATAGAAACAGAAAGTAAAATAAAAGATGGAAAGTTTGAATTAAATTATGTCAGAGGTCAGGAAATAACAGGTAAGACAAACATACATTGATTTTTTTGAAATCACATTTATAACAATACAGTTTATTTTAGTAATACATGCAATATGAGGTGTCAGCAGGACTTATTCAAAATGTCATTACGGGTACATTTACCTATATTCCTTATCGCTATTTGTCCGCCATTACTGGACATCACAAAGGTTCCAGTAAAATTTTGACTTCATAATGGAAAATGTCTGACTCGACAAAGGAAAAGTGATTGTTATATGACGTAAATAGTTCAAGTGGCGCTGGTTCTCAATACATTAGTAGCGCAGATTCCCAAATAGCGATAAGGTCTATTAAAATCATGTACGTAAAGCATAAAAGCAGTCACCTTTTGCAAAATGTTTTGTCAATTGAATTCACAATTTATTAAACTTGATATGTGTACAGAGCAAACACATATGTTATTTTTTCTGTTTGAAATTAAGGATTTTTACATGTAGGACAATGAAAGGTACGCCAGACAATTTTGTTATGATACAATGTACATGTATCTACAAAAATGTAATTATTAATGCAAATGTATATAATAAGGTGAAGATGCAAGAGTATATTGTATTAGACTATTTAAGTTATAAATTTAACTGTAGATATTATTTTAAAAATTTTGGATGGTGAATACTTGAAATTTAAGACATGAACCTGAATATTTCATTCTCCATTTTCTAATTCTGTAAACCATGTAAACCGTCTTTACTTACATGAAAAAAAATTTATAACAAAACAACTACTTACAGAGTACATGCAGTCAGTTTTCTACTTTAAAATTAAAATTCATCATATAAATTGTCCTGGATGGAAATTTCCACAAATAAAAACAATGGAACCAGGCTAGGGTATCAACATACATTTTTACAAGTGTAAATAAAAGTAAAGGAAAGTCATGCATAATGAAGGTCATGAAATTCAAATTCTTGAAAAAAAGATACATGTTACTTGTAATATAGATGTACTATGTATAACTTTGTTAAACAATTGAAGTTATTTCAAACTTCATGAAAATATCTACAAACCACTGCAAATTGTCAATGATTGTTGGCCAAATTCAAGTACATAAAAATGTAACAGGTACCAAATTATATGCTTTATGTGTGTCCTTAAAATACATGCATTCTTTTCTTTCAGTCAGAACTTATGGATTTATCTTTTGGAAACTGATATCTTTTTTGGAAATTTCTAAAAGTTCTGATAGAAAAAAAAAACCCATTCAATGAATATTTCAATTATTTTCACACATGTACACTTAACATGAAGCTTTAGGGCATCATGATTTTGTCAATCCATCTACCCTTCCACATTGGTTGAACTCTGCCAATAACCTCTTATTTTAGGATATCTTTACTTACATTTAGACATGCATGTATAAGATAAAGGTACTGTTTAACATGTTAAAAACAGATTTTAACATTCTTTAAATAGTATTTATTGATCTGAAGAATGACAAACCATAAGTTATAAGTAGACTGTTCAGTTTACATAACTATGTAGGGCCTTTGTGGGTGAGTGGTCTAAAAAGTTTAGTTTACTTAACTACTTAGGAGCCTTGGTGGTCAAGTGGTCTAAATAATTCAACTACAGCAATCATGGTCACTAGCCTCCCAACACTTACACATGTAGGTTATGAGTTGGAACCCTCCTCTTGGCAGGTGCATTTGACTCCAATCTTAATAGACTGGGATTGCCATGTAGGTTATGAGTTGGAACCCTGCTCTTGGCAGGTACATTTGACTCCAATAGACTGGGATTGCCAGTTTTCCTGTGAAGGTACATTGTAAGAGATTATTTAGAGGTTCTCTGGCTTCCTCCACCAATAAAAACTGGCAGCCATGATAGAGCGAAGAATGTTGAAAGTGTGTTAAACACCAAAAATCAAGCAATTGAGGCTTAGACAAATGAACCATATCTGTGGCAAAAGGCCCAAAAAATATACAATCTTGTTTCCTGTCTCTTAGCTGAAAAAATTGTTGAAGAAATAAAATGCACATGGACATGTCGGAAGAAAAATTATATGATATATGTTCAAAATGAACACAATATTTTTATGCAATGATACCTGCATTTTGGTGTCTGAAATTGTGGCGGCAACAAATGGCTTTCCTGTCATCTGAAAAAAAATTTGTTACAAGTATTGAAGATAGGATAGATATAAAATAAACCAATTGATATTTAATAAAATGCACAATATGAATAACTTAGGAATTATTTAAGACTTGAAAGCTCTTTTTATTAATTTTATTGGAGTATAAAAGCATTAACTGCAGCAAATTTTGTATACAGCATATAAGAATGACTCATACTAAAAATGTGTGCATGTTCAACTCTTTTACAACCCTATAAAACTACTACATTCATGACATTGTATAAAAATAAAAAAATAAAAACAACTCGTTATAAATTTCATGCGTCCGTCCGAAGCGCTTTTCTGGATTTACCTTCATCAGGAATGCTCAAAGCTGAATATTTAAAAACCAAGAATGTTTTATAAACTAAACAGTTGAAGAGCTATATATATATATGACCAAAAAGGACCTAAAAAAATAGCCAAATTTATCTAAGGTCAACTTTACATGAGGGAGTTGAAACCTTAGTTTCTTATAATTTCAAAATTTATTAACGGACAATTTTAGAAAGGTTTGTAATCATGGTAATAAGCATTCAATTTTCATAATTGCATGTTTATACTAAAGACATGAAATTTCAAGTTAAAGCAAGCATTTCTTTTGTTTTTATATTCATTGTTTGCATATTGTAATTGAGAGTATGTGCAGTCATTAATTTTGCATTTTATACTGATTCAGTATGTCCTTACGTCCCAAAATTTGTTTCTGTTCTCTAACTTTAGTTTGCCTCAACCAAATGTTATGAAACTTATACAAAATGCTTATTACCACAAAACACAGATCAAGTTTAAATTTGGGTTGCGTCACTTTTATGTTTTTGAGTTATGTCGCTTTATAATGTAATATGCAAGCTGGGGCATCATCTGTGTCCCATGGACACATATTCTCCATTTACTTTTAAAAGATTTTGAAAAAATGAACAATTTCAATATGAATATATCTAAAAATTGAAACTGTTGTATTTGCTTAATTATGATTGAATAAAATTTATTTTAAATGGATTTACGTATACAGAATTCAAATAAATTGATTATCAAATTTAAATGTGATCCTTTCTGATATTATTTTCATTGATTTTCTGGATATCAGACTAACTCAGAATGCACCTGCAATTGGTGAAAAATGTTCTTACAATTATCTTTAAATCTTCATTCCTCCAAAACTAGTACAGATATTATTGTTTAAGATTGATATGCTGCTGTTAGATACATTTCAGTTTTAATAGTGGGGTCATAGAATTTGTTGAACATAAAAAAAAGTGACTAGAAGATGATTTCAGGATTGCAGTCTTTTTGTCCGATTTCTACAAATCACTGATGTTCCCTTACAAAAAAATTTAGAATTTTAATATTTAGATGAATGTAAACATAGGCTTGCCACATTTCATATTCTGGTGATTTGATTTGAATATGGTTTTAAATTGGAAGATATTTTTACAGTTTGGTTTGTACAAAAATGTAATATTGATATTTGTGTTTATAATTATGATGATCAAATAATAATTATATATATATAAGTATTAAAGAAAATAAATTGATTATCGAATTTAAATGTGATCCTTTCTGATATTATTTTCATTGATTTTCTGGATATCAGACTAACTCAGTGACCTCAAAAGCATTGGAAAATAAATCACCAATCATTGTTACTACCAACTATATTTCCTGCATACAGGGGCATGACTGTTTGAAGTTTTCTCATTCATAAAATTTGTAAATTGATTTCTGTGTCAGGAATGTTGACTTCTATTTTTATCTTGATGGAATTGTTAGTATTTTACTTTTCGTTTGAGAAATATGTCCTGGGTACTCTGGTTTTACCAGAATTTATTGACACATAGAAATTAAGGAAGTTTTCTTACTTTTTGACAACATAAAGTTATCATTTACAGTCACCTATTACGGAAAACCACATCTGTTGTTTTTTTTAAAATTAGACCACTATTTGAGGAGTGGTTAGATACATCATGTCATGGGGTAAATGTTGCTTTTTTATTTATGTAATTGGGATGATTTTCTGTTTGTAACTTCCGTGGTTGATTTTTAAAAATTTGAAGGTTTTGAAATGTATGTAGGCGTCATTTTTTGGCATACTTTCAAATCTGTAGGTTACATCGGCATGATAGGCCCTTTTCAGATATTGTGCAAGCTTGCGCAGAAGGTCTGCTTGGTAAAAAATAACACATATATATTCCACATGTCTGTAAGACATGCGCAGTTTCAAATTTTCATATTTTATTTTTCACTCAACACTGATAGTTTCTAAGCTTGCTTGTCTTGATAATTTGAAATGGTCTGTTAATTGCATTCACAAATGACACTTCAATCATTTTGTCAGCAAACACAGACGATGATTAGTCAGTTATGTCCAAAAAATGGTTGATCTTCGGCATGGCAGATACAATATCAGGTCTTAACTGAATTATTAATGTAATAAAAAAATTATGATGATCTGTTCATCTTGAGGGCTGTACATAATGTACAAACATATACCAAGCCTGCTGTTAATATCCCTAAAAACATCACCAACCAAGATGAAACATTTACTGTTGTCACCTAGCTAAAAATCCCTGGGATATCAGGAACCTCCATATTGTGACTTGAAGCTGGTATTTTACAGTATCATTATGCAGAAAAAGCTTTCACCATTACATATGTAAATTGACCTGTGCATTAGTGATTGCTGCAATGATGTTCTTCTAGGCAGCAAAAAGACATTTTGCAATGTTGGACTTAATATGCTGCTAGTAATATAACTAATTGGTATGGTGAAGAACTGTTATATACTAAAACACAACTAATATTCATTACACAAGGATAAATCATGATTCTGCCTCAGGTTTATATTATCAAAGATATTTTTCCATAAGACAGGTTGTGGCTTGAAAAAGAGGGTATGCTTGGTTGGAGGCAAAAGTGTTTGCCTTGTAACAGGTCACCCACAGACCTCTCAAAAAGAAAGCTTCTGTCAGATCCAGTTTATCTTTGTTTGATACATGTATGTTTAAGAAAATGTTAACCTTAAATATCTATGACTTTATATATGTGTATTACAGGAACATAGAGGTAAAGGTACTTGTGATGGAGTATTCCGTAAAAAACGGTTCTTCACATGTGAACCAAACTGTGGGGTTTTTGTACCTCTGCATAAGATTCGAGCTGACCCAACATCTAGACATGTTGTTAATACAGCTACTGCAAGTTTAAGACAGGAAATAGCTGAATGTGGTTTAAGGATTGGTAACCAGATTGTCTGGCTTAGTGACAATGGACCTGAATATGGAGAGGTTAAGTGGGTCGGGGTATTACCAGATTCGCGCAGAAATGATATTACTGTTGGAGTGGAATTTGTAAGTATTTTTTTTTTTTTTTATCATTTTTTAAATAACAGTTTTTCATGTTTACTGGACTGGTCACTTACAGGCCAAATCAGTGTCAGTAAGACTTAGCTTGACTTGACTTGGCATCTATTTTTAAAGAAGGACAGAACTTGTTTTTATTTATGATTTGTAATGAAAAGGGGAGGCATCAATATGTAACTTTCCTATTAAACAGATCAGCACTTCTTTTTTGTCGAGCCTTCGACTTTTGTCGAAAAAGCGAGACATAGCGATGCTACATTCCGTCGGCGTCGTCGTCGTCTTCGTCCTGTTGTCGTCGGCGGCGTCCACAAATATTCACTCTGTGGTTAAAGTTTTTGAAATTTTAATAACTTTCTTAAACTATCCTGGATTTCTACCAAACTTGGACAGAAGCTTGTTTATGATCATAAGATAATATTCAAAAGTAAATTTTGTAAAAAAAAAATTCCATTTTTTCAGTATTTTACTTATAAATAGACTTAGTTTTTCTGCCAGGAAACATTACATTCACTCTGTGGTTAAAGTTTTTGAAATTTTAATAACTTTCTTAAACTATCCTGGATTTCTACCAGACTTGGACAGAAGCTTGTTTATGATCATAAGGTAATATTAAAAAGTAAATTTTGTTAAAAAAAAATTCCATTTTTTCTGTATTTTACTTATAAATGGACTTAGTTTTTCTGCCAGGAAACATTACATTCACTCTGTGGTTAAAGTTTTTGAAATTTTAATAACTTTCTTAAACTATCCTGGATTTCTACCAAACTTGGAAAGAAGCTGAGTGTTTATGATCATAAGATAGTATCAACAAGTAAATTTTGTAAAAAAAAATCCATTTTTTTCCGTATTTTACTTATAAATGGACTTAGTTTTTCTTCCAGTTAACATTACATACAGTCTGCAGTTTAAGTTTTTAAAACATTTATTAGATTCATAAACTATCCTGGATTTTTACCAAACTTGGACAGAAGCTACTTACAATCAAAAGATAGTATAGAGAGGAATATTTTTATTAATTTTTTTCCTCATTTTTGTTGAGCCTGTGATTAACAGCAAAAAGTAGGCGAGACACTGGGTTCCGCGGAACCCTTACGAATTTTTTAATCTTGGTGTCATTGGAACTTTCAAAGGACACAGCCTACAGTCATGACAGTGTTATTGAACACTGTGTTTGAGACAGTCACATCAAACAAAAAAAGAAATAAAAAACAAAGACAGCATACACCAAACTACCAGGATCCTTGTTTCAGTTTGGGACATGCATATATGCATATGAAGTACATGAAGTATATAAATATTGTTGTGAGTACTCAACCCTCTAAAATAAGATAGTGATTTAACTGGAAGAAAATGAAACAAGCTTAAAAATCAGGTCAAGTGGACCAAGCTCATTGGATTGGAACTTAGAACAAAATACTTCTAGGTAAAATTTTTGTCAATACTTCTAGGTAAACCCAGTTGGGTCAGGTACAGGGAAATATAAAAGTCACAGATTGTTCCATGCTAAACCACAGCATGCTTCTCTGGTACCAATCATGGGACTAATGAAAGCAGAAGAGTATCTAGCCATGCAGGCTCCAACTACAGGTAAGGACTATTTATGTTAGATCTTCTAAATTATCATTAGACCTTATAAATTATCATTAGGCCTTGTAAATTATCATTAGATCTTGTTGATTATCATTAGACCTTGTTGATTATCATTCTATGGATATCTACCCTCACTTCTAAGGTCGAATTATTCCAATTAATAAGCTCTTTATCATGGATAAATCTTTCTAAATATTATCATAATAGTGTTTGTCTTTGATGCTTTATAGATTTGGTTCATTTCAGATGTCAAAACAATATTTATTCTATATATTGAATTAAATAAATTGAACAATGAATTCCATTACTGCAAAAGTGAAATATTATGAATTGATCCAAAATTTGACACTTAAATTTAATCTCTACCATTTTGGTGAAACCACTGAAAATGGTATTCAACCAAAATACTTATTTCCAAAGGGCATGTTAAAAAAAAAATTGTCAAAACAATGAAATGAAATACACACAATCCATTGCATATAGGGATTTCTGGCATTTTCTATCCTGTTATAAGCTCATTTGGCCATAAGGGCCATGATGATTTCAGCTTTTCCATCACTTGGTGTCCTCTGTCTGTCGTATAAACCTTTTCAAAGATCTTCTTTGAAACCACAGAACCAATTCAAACCAATCTTCAAGTGATTGATCCTTAGGGTGTCTAGATTATAGTTTGTGAATTTTTTTATTGTCCATAAACTAACCTGGCCACACTAGCTATAAATAGAACAATGGGGCAATTGTCTAATATTTTGAAAACCATTATAGTTTTGTGAATTATTTTATTGTCCATAAACCAACATGGCCACAATAGCTATAAATAGAACAAAGGGGTAATTTTCTGAAAATCAGATATGGTAAAAATGTTCAGAATGTCAAGATCTTCCAAAATAATCAGGGTTATTGTATTAGGCCCTCAGGGTTATTATATTAGAGTTATTGCCCGAAATGACAAATTTTTGTCTACCATCTTTAGCATTTTTGCCTATCTTCTTTAAAACAATAATAGATAGATAGAAACTATAACCAGCACAAAAGATCTTCAAAACAATGCAATATTACTGAAACCATTTTTCAACCCCTGATTAGAGTTGTTCCCCTTAAATGATAATTTTTGAAAGATTTTAACATTTTTGCCTATTAATTTGAAACCTTTAATATAAATACAAATGTGTATCCAGAAACAGAAAAAAATTATTAGCAATACAAGATCTAAATAATGAGAAATGACCAAAAGGCAAAACTGGTTATCAACTTATTACAGTGATTTTTTTTACACATTTTAGTGTTTTTGCCTTAAAATTACTAAGGATACACAGAAACTGTGAACAGCAAAAAATATTAGCAATACAAGCTTTAAAAGAATGTTTAAATGGCTCAAACAACTAATCCACTCCTTTTTGGAGTTAATGCCCTTAAATAACTTATTTTTACAAATTAAAGCATTTTTGTCTCTTTTTTTTAAAACTATTTTGTTGGATAAAAACTTTTAAACAACAATACAAGATCTCTAAAATAAAAAGAAAATTTTGTAAATAACGTTTTTGGTCTGGATTTTTATGTTAATATCGATATGACATATATGACATATTTTTACCATATGTCAGCAATTCAGGTACATTGGCAATTGTAGTTAATCATAAGCTTTCTTATGAAAATTTATGGATTTTTCTTATTAATTTAATGATATTGTATATGTTTTTAATAATTTATTGTTTACTTTTGGTCAGACACTTATACTTATGGATCACCACAACCAGAAGTCGTAGCCTTACCTCCTGAAGACATTAAAGTGCCAGAGACTATTGAGAGAGTTATACCCAATTCACAACAGGTAGAAGTAGAAGTTCACTCAACGAACCGACCTCAGTTTGTCTCACCAGTCAAACCAATACAAAAGCTATATCCTGAAGAATCAAGGGAACCTAGCATGAACCCATTATATGAGTACCAAATAAGTAAGTCATGTGATAGATAACCTAGCATGAACCCATTATATACAAGTACCAAATAAGATGATGATGATGATGGATGGCTGCTTAACATTCAGTGGCAAATTAATATACATATTAAGGACGAGAACATGTTTATGTAATATGAATATTTACCCGGATTTCTAACGTGCTAGTTCACAAGGTAACGGTTCGCAAGAAGACATTTAACCTTACCACAGACACATTATTCTGACTCCGAGCCGACAAGTCTGTGCTCTTACTCCTTATTGGTGCTTGCTCAGTGGAGAGGCAGCAAATACCAATTTTAAAGTCTTTGGTTTGACATGGTCAGGGTTAAAATCCCATGACCTCCCGCACTCGAGGGAAACATGCTACCACAAGACCACCTAGGTGTTTACCAAATAAGTAAGTCATGTGATAGATAGCCTAGCATGAACCCATTATACCAGTAACAAATAAGTAAGTCATGTGATAGATAACCTAGCATAAACCCATTATACAAGTAACAAATAAGTAAGTCATGTGATAGATAACCTAGCATACAGCTATTATACGAGTAAGTCATGTGATAGATAACCTAGCATACAGCCTTTATATGAGTAAGTCATGTGATAGATAACCTAGCATACAGCCATTTTACGAGTACTAAATGAGTAAGTCATATGACAGAAAATCTAGCATAAATCCATTGTATGAATTACAAGTTAGTAATTATATAAGTTGTGTAATAGATACTCTTGCATGAACACATTATATGAGTAACAAATGAGTAGGTCATGTGACAGAGAACCTAGCATAAATTCATTAGTATGAGTACCAAATGAGTAAGTCATGTGTGATATAGAACCTAGCATGAGCATGAATAGATAATATGATTACAAAATGAGCAAGTCATCTGATAAAATATTTAGCATGCACTCATAGAATGAGTACTTAAGGGGTAAGTCATTTGATAAAGAACCTAGTAGAAACCAATAGTCTGTATCCCAAATGAATAAACATGTTAAAGAGACTCAGCTTGAACCCATTCAACAAATAAAAGATTGAAAGTTTATCCATTTTAGAAGCCCTAGTAATCTACAGAATTTTACTTATCTATATTATTGTTCAAAATGAACTTCTTTTCAAAGTGATACGTATGACATATGAATACTGAATATAAAATTCTCTGCTGGGACACAGGATTTTTTTATCTAAAATTGTTTTAATTTCTTGTTGGCAACAAGATTATTCTTTCAGGTTGTGTATTTCACAATATTCACTTTAAAAATAACATTGTGTAGAGCCCTAGATCATGATTTATATACATGAAATTGTTACTACATGTTCAACATTAAAGTGTTGGTACATGTATCTTTCCCTCTACACTTATAAATAGATACTACAATATATTCATAAACATACATATTACGTGAGTATGATCTTTTCATTAATATCATGGATGCATTATTATTCGTGGGATACCAATTGTCATTGATTTCGTAGGTATTAGATTAACAGTGATTTTAATGTTTAACAAAATACAAATTTTCTTTAGGCTTGTATGCTGACTTTGGCAAAACCATGAAATCAAATATCCCTGATAATTCAATTTTTCTTCAATCCATGAAAATAGATACCTTTGAAAATGAATGAATCAGATATATGGCTGCAGTAGATGCAAATGTGTCAAGACCTTGGTGACTAAATTTTTTGTCTCGCCTGCGAAGACAATTGCGGAAGCAAGAATTAGGTGTGCTTATTTCTGAAGTCAGTGACATCAACAATTGTTTAAGTTAATGATTAGGTTACAGGAATGAGACATATATCTGTGTTAATGATTTATTTACTTCAATTAAAAATCTCTATTTTACAGTACCATACTGATCGTTTTTCCATTGGTTTGACACTATCAATAGACTAAACTATTTTGTTACTTAATGGTGACTTTATTCATATTTTGTTACTTAATGGTGACTTTACAGTTCAGAAAGTTCAATATTTAATGGTCGATTTTTCTATATGCAGTATGTCTATTGAAATTGTATAACACCAAGTACTATTTAGTTCCATCTAGGAAGAATATTATATAATATCTGGCTACACCTACACTTCCATTGTTATCAATTAAGAATACCTAACAATGACATAGGTTACGGATGATAACAGTAGATTTCCGTATCCCCTGATACTGTTGTTTAAATGCCACCTTTAATGGGTTAGTCATTGTTATGTGGTTACTGGAAGAAAATTTGTTCTACACGTGTCTATGATGTCATCAGTTAGTTACGTAAGAGAGCTAACAAACCTTTAAAAAACTATTGAAGGTTATTAAAGGCATTAAGTACATTGAGATCACTGTTAAGGTTTAGGACAATTGTTACTCCATAAACATTGAATCCAAAATTCTCAATCACTATTACTCAACTCAAGAATGTTGCTGATGGCATACAAAACGTATATTATTCCGTTTTGTTCAGCGCATAAATTTGGTTTTACAGAAATTTATATTTCAACACTAGGAGAGCCAAAAAAATTTTTGTATAGATTTCTCTTGGCAAGTGTTTTAATCAGGCATATATCAGTTTTCTTAAACCTCATTGTCGTGGTGCAGTGGCTATAAAATATATGTTCAGCTTTCATTATTTCTCGTTTTTTCTCAGAAAGTGACTGTATATAGTCCCAATTCTTCCCTACGGCATCAATCTCACCAACCAGGCTGTAGCAGTGTTAACCAATATAATGTGCATTCACTTAAAACATATGTAAATTAAACTAATTAACTGTGAAAAAATTGGGTTATGTCTTTTGAGCAGTTTATTCAAGTATATATATGTCACTAGTTTTGTCAATTCGCTGGCTGAGTAAGTAATAACAGTTACCAGTATGATCATGATGATTGACAACTGTAATAGTCAACATACAATTAGATACAAAGGTTGAGTTTTAATTAGAACCCCTCCTCTTTAATGCCAATCTTAATTTAGATGAGTTCAATAATTATAAAATCTCAAATGGGGAATAATTTTTTTCAGTAGGGGGATTATAAAAATACCACATATCATTTCTTGTTGCCAGGATAGTACCTTCATTTCTTTAGAGGTTCTCTTCGAATTTGTATGAAGGCTTTTACTCGACAAAACTTTGAATAAGTTCACTAATCAGAAAAAATATAAATTGAGGATCCTTTTTTGCAAGATGGAGAAATATCCAATATTATTTCTTGTTGCTTGGATAGCGGCTTTATATCTGATCAGATCCTTTTCAAATATGTATAATTATAATTTTCAACTCATTAAACCCTTTAGTGAGCTCTTTTGTGAGAAAAATATGAAATGGGGGACCATTTTGGGGGGAGTTGGACTTGTAAAAATATCCCATATTAAATATGTGGAGTAAGGGGTATGTGAGATTGCTTGTTAAAGGTTCTTTCGTTTATGCAATTCTATTTTATTTTGTACATATATTGTCAACAGCTCAAATTTGCATCTTAATATATCGTTGAAAAGTTGACTTAGGAAGAACCCCTACTCTCCTGATATAGATTTTAGTCTTCAGTGGAGTGTTTAAATATTTTTGTTGTTGTTTACTTCCTAGTTTCATTCATAAATGATTGACATTTTATCCGTAATTTAATCAACCTCTTGTAAATCACTAACAGTGTGTATAAATTTATACGTGTAACTCTAAAATTGTTTTTTTTCTGAAAAATAAAATTTTCCAAACTCAAGTTCTATATTTTCAACTTAATAATAATTTATGCAATAAATAATTCACATAATCCTTTGTTATCGTTAAAATTCAATATAAGTGGAATTTCCCAAATTTGTGGAAATTGTACATGTACTAAATTTTAACACCTTTGTTTAAATGATGTTGCAAATACTCATTCACAAAGGTAATGCATTTTTGAAAAGTGTTATTTTCTTTTAATCTCAAGGAAGATAAATTAATCAAATAACTCAACTAACTTCCTTTAATCAAAAACAAAAAATAAAATAAAAAATACAGTAAATTCATAAATTATTGTGAAGTTTTTATTAATGCAAATAATGCGACTGTGTGAGGTTCACAATAATAAGAACTGTGTTTAGATTTTCCTGAAATCGCAAATATTAATCTTACATTTTCGTTCATTCTTCAAAAATCACAATAAGAAAAGCACACATTAATTTCTGAATTTACAGTATTTTATGAATGAAATGATAAGAATTTTACATTTGATATTGCATCAGTTCATGTCAAAGTTCTTCTTTACTAAAATATGATCACAAAAAAAAAACAACAAAAAAAAACAACTGAAAAGATATTTGCTAGACTGAGAAAGCATTGGTATAAATGCATGTAAAAAAAATATATAAAATTCATCCTTATTCTATAGAGTCACCTATAGCATGAAGACTATTTTCAACTTATGAAAATTATAGTACATGTATATTACATGTATCATAACTTTAAAAGCTTACTATTTCTAAGCCGGTTGTATTTCTTTAAATTGTTTTGAACCTTAAGGAAGTACATTTTTTACATTTTTAAATTTTGATATGATGATTTTTTTATTTGTATTATAAAATATTGTGTATTTAAAAAAATAATTAAACCAGGACAGTATTTCCAATACTCTAATTATAGATGATAAATATGTTTTTCAACCTTCAAAAATGTGGAGTATACATTGTATATGTAAATATTAGAATAAGTATATTTTGTAATTGGATACATAAACAAAGAAAAAAAGAACATCTAGCCCCATTATTTTTTAATATTTTCTAAATGTTTTGAATCAAGTTATTGTCCTAATATAACCTTCTATTAAAAGTAATAATGTTTGCTTTATTTGCAAAATGTACTTTTATCTCTCCTCTTCTAGGTTAATTTGAGAAATATCTATATTGAATTATTTTAGTATCTGTCTATCTCATAAACAAAGGATTGATTGTATTGTGTAAGGAGCATATTTGATTGAAGCAAGAGGTAACACAATCTTTTTGTGTTATGAATACTAATGTTCTAGTCATCCATTTTGGGTTTTCCTGTCTTCTCAGTTTACATGTTGCTAAGTGGGAAGTAAAACTAAGAAACCATAGAATTATGGACAATACTTATGTTACAACAGTTTGAGAAATGAGATCTGAAGTTACGACTACCATCTCACAAAGCAAATTATGTACTGTAAGTAAGTTTTACGAGGCATGATTGAAGTCTACTCTAAATGAAAATGACATTCGCTAAACTAGTATACATTTTTGTTTAGTGGCCAGCTGAAGCCTGCCTCAGGGTGCGGGTTTTCTTGCTGCGTTTAAGACTCATTGGTGGCCTTGGGCTGATTCTGTTCTTTGGTCGGGTTGTGTCTCTTTGACACTTTCTCTTTTTCCATTCGCTATTCTAACACCTTATGATTTCATGCGATTTACCTCCATCAGGAACACTTAAACCTAAAGATTTGAAAGCCAGGGATGTATAAAGACGTAGAAATGTAAGGAGCTATATTATCAAAAGGGACCTAAAAAGCATATGCCAAATTTATCCAAGGTCAACTTTGCCTTAGGGACTTGGAATATTGAGCAATTAAATATCAATGAAAGTTTAAACAGATCAATTAAGACAGTGCTTAAAATGTAAATGTAATTTATACAGTATTGTGTAACATAATTTAATTTACACCTTCACACAACAAATTATTTATGTGCAAAATTAAAGTCCCCTTTCAAAGTAATTTCATCGAACATTTCTGAAAATTCATAAGATACTTCAAAATCAATGATATTTGCAGAAGTTCAACTTCTTTTCTCTACTTCATTTTTATTACACCTCTACAAAGTTGAGGGGACTATTGGAGCACTCTTACATTGGCATTCAAGTCTTTGTTGTCCGCAGCATTATCTCCTAGACTTTAAATTAACAACAATAATTTGGTATGCAAGTGCATATTGGAGAGACTAACTATGTGCCTTAAAATGAAGTTCACATTACCTGTATACTTTTTTTTTTATTTCTTCAGTGGTTTTTATATACTTATATGTTTTTACCTACTTGACTATGTTTTACATCTATCTGAGTTCAGATCTGAGAAATTAAGTAACCTACAATTATGTAACCAGGTTTAAGGATGCATAAAGAAGGTATAACAACCTTGATCTATAAATGAATCACTCACATGCTTAAAAAATGTCAACAGGTGATGTACTAGGATTTTATATTGAAACGGATATATATAGGTATATAATACATCTTGTTGATTTATAAAAGATCCAGGAAGTCGAGAACAGGACACATCAATTTACTAAGTAAAATGGATAAAATAATATACAATTTAATTGACATATTCTATTTATAGATCAAAAATTGAAGAAGGAACAATCTCAGCAGAGTCTGCAGTCCTCCGAGCCAGGAAGTCAGTCTATTGAACCTCCAGGGACTCGTAAAAGTATGAAGTCCATTCCTCCTGCTGATCCAGATCTAGAAGTGGGGTCTATGGTTGAAGTCATGCAGAATCCTCCATTATATGGTGTGATAAGGTGGGTTGGTTCCCTGCCAGACCAGAAGGAACCAACAAGGCCAATTGCTGGGTTAGAAATGGTTAGTTGTCTACTTTTCCCATATAACTGCAATGAAACTTTTGAAATTACTCTGCATTCTGAGTTCTACATACCTTGTAAACAAAAAAAATATTTTATAAACTTTTATTTAATGCGTAAAACAAGATGTGGGGTAAACATTAATGAAAGAGCAACCCAACAACAACAAAAAAACAAGCAACACCTTAAGCTTCTTATCAACATATGGTCATTAAGAATAAACAAGTTCCTATGCAAAATGTCTGGCCATAAATCATGCCAAATGTAAATAAGGCATTAATTAATTTAAAATAGGTTATATATAAAAGGATGTTTGTTTTTCAGAAAGTGTTGACTATTTTACAAGTAAACATTACAGTGAAATTTGGCTAAAAGATGAGAAATTTCTTCAGAAATTTGACAGCCTTGCCTTATACTCTAGATTCTGGATTGACCTATGTGAAACTTTTTTTCTGAATTCTTATTTTACAAGGTTATAGCATGAAATGATCTTTCAGTGTTACAGTATCTTAGTCTAGCCCACCTTACATAAAGGTTTCGATCTGAACTGATTGAAACTGTGAAGTACACTGTAAAATGGGAATTTATTATAAACAATAAAATCATTTGACATGGTTTCTATGGAAGTGTGATATTCCTGTCAGTTTTTTAGATGTTTAAAGGAAAACTAAAACAATACTATCAGTTTCCTTAAGGTGAATAATTGTGTCTTATGATGACAATCAATAGTAAATGAAGCTATAGATTATCTTTTTAAAGTTTTGCCCGAATTTAAGTGGGATTATGGTCCTCTGTAACAATTAATTTCATGGTTTCTATATACAATTGTCATAGATTTTGTCTTGTCTTTTCTCTGTCCAAAGCTAAGACTTAGGCTTGCTGTTTCCGGCAGCAGCCTTGGCAGTGTCAAAATTTTTAAAACTATGTGACAAGGTCAGTTTAAGGGGAAGCACTTATGATACTTCAATGATATTTGGTATGCAGTTGTATAAGCATCGACACATCTCATCTGACAAATATTTCCTTCACATTTTTCTCAGGTACAATTAACAGAATTAAGTCAGCAGCTTAACAGTGATGACTTGTAACATGCGGGCATTTTCTGGATTTGTCGGACACTTACATCCTGCTTGCAGATATTTAAAATTTTTGAAGATGTTAAAAGAACTTAAAAAATTTTTGTCACCTCCTTGACTTCATATTGAGTCAGCAGCATGGTAGTGATGAGTTGTAAGGTGTTTAAGCATTTTACAGATTTGTCAGAAACTTACTTCCTGTTATCCTGTACTTTGAATTATGAGCGGGAGTACAAAACATGTATGCTTATAAAGACATAATGTGCATTAATGTTTGATTATGCTTTATATTTTATATTCAGAAGATCTTTAGGCTTAAAATTAAAGTTAGATTCTAATTGAATGACCACATCTGTAATTTTTGTGTATCTTCACATGTAAATAATTCAGCATGTATTAAGTCTCAAATATTTTCAAAATGCAAATTGCAGAAAATGTGATCCTGGTATCCTGAATGATTATAATATTAAATCATTTACATATCCCTTGGTATCTTCTCCCCCTTTTTAACAGTTTTTTACAGGGATGTGGAAATAACATGCCCAACTTGTACAGCTTGTTCAAAAATCTCCCGACCAAGTAAATAAATTCTAACTACTTGTCCAGGACAAGTAATTTCTGTAATAGCACATCCAATAGAAAAAAGTCAAAAAATGTTCCATGCAAGTAGATTTTTGTACTTGTCACTGGACAAATGATCCAGGCAAGTAGATTTTTGTATAGTACTTGTCACTGGACAAATGTTCCAGGCAAGTAGATTTTTGTATAGTACTTGTCACTTGACAAATGTTCCAGGCAAGTAGATTTTTGTATAGTACTTGTCACTGGACAAATGTTCCAGGCAAGTAGATTTTTGTATAGTACTTGTCACTGGACAAATGTTCCAGGCAAGTAGATTTTTGTATAGTACATTGTACTTGTCACTGGACAAATGTTCCAGGCAAGTAGATTTTTGTATAGTACTTGTCACTGGACAAATGTTCCAGGCAAGTAGATATTTGTATAGTACTTGTCACTGGACAAATGTTCCAGGCAAGTAGATTTTTGTATAGTACTTTTTACTGGACAAATGTTCCAGGCAAGTAGATTTTTGTATAGTACTTGTCATTGGACAAATGTTCCAGGCAAGTAGATTTTTGTATAGTACTTGTCACTGGACAAATGCTCCAGGTAAGTAGATTTTTGTATAATACTTGTCACTGGACAAGTAAAGAATTTTGATATTTCCACACTCCTTATTGAACACTAGAACTGATGTGGATTCACTTATGTTTTATGGAAACCAAAAGTCTACATGCAAGCCTTGTAAAAAAAAATGAAACTTCCTTGTTCATCTTAGGCACCGAAACATGTCGATCAATAAATTTTCTGCAGCAGTCCCTCCAGTGTTGTTGTTATAAGACTTTCTACATTATTGTGTTTCATCATAATTGTACAGCTTGTTCAAAAATCTCCCGACCAAGTAAATAAATTCTAACTACTTGTCCAGGACAAGTAATTTCTGTAATAGCACATCCAATAGAAAAAAGTCAAAAAATGTTCCATGCAAGTAGATTTTTGTACTTGTCACTGGACAAATGTTCCAGGCAAGTAGATTTTTGTATAGTACTTGTCACTGGACAAATGCCCTAGGCACCGAAACATGTCGATCAATAAATTTTCTGCAGCAGTCCCTCCAGTGTTGTTGTTATAAGACTTTCTACATTATCTTAATTTTTTGTTTTAAATACACTTATGAAATCCACGAAAAATTGGTATTCCACGAATAATAATGAATCCACGGTAATTTGATTAAAAAGTAAAATTGTACATACCTGATTTTAATTTTGAAGTATTGTGTTCATTTTAAATGCATGATTGTTTATTGACAGGAGGAGGAAATTTCTGCTGGAACAGATGGAACTTTTAAGAAAATTCGTTATTTCTCATGTCCCGATAAAAAAGGATTTTTTGTACCTCTTTATAAGTGTCGTAAAGATAAACGTTTTGTTGATCAACATGGAAGAGGAGCTTTAGGAAATAATTTTGGAAGTTTTGAAACTCCTGACGTTCATGGAAACATCTCTCCTCCAGATTCATTAAGTGAAAGTGAAATCGGAACTAAAATTTGTGGGAAACAAAAAGGAATTCAAGGTCACCATAACTCTTGTTATTTAGATGCTACTTTGTTTGCAATGTTTTATTTTACAACTGTATATGATGGAATATTATATAGACCTAAACGTTTAGATGACCATCAAGAATATGAAGAAGTTATAAATGTTCTGAAGGAAGGAATAGTCAATCCTTTAAGATGGTAAGTAATTGTTAATGATTTGGCATTTTTATACAACCGCAAAAAATTTGCGTTAATGAATCTCTATGAAATTTTACCACAAGGTTCAATAGCATATAAGAAGGTTGGAATTGATTTTGGGGGTTATGCCAATATGGTCCCAACTGTTTAGGAATTAGGGGTCAAAAAGGTGCCAAAAAAGGCATTTTTCAAGTTTCCAGACAATAACTTGTGTATAAGTGTATGGATCTCTATGAAATTGTACCACAAGGTTCCATACCACAAAGGGAAGGTTGGGATTGACTGGGGGTTATGGCCCAAACTGTTCAGGAATGAAGGGCAAAAAAAGGGAAGGGGGAACAAGGTTTTTCTGGTTAACGGACAATTACTTAAGTATTAGTCTATGGATCTCTATGAAATTGAAACACAAGGTTCCATACCATAAAGGGAAGGTTGGGTTTGACTTTGGGGGTTATGGCTCAAACTGTTCAGGAATAAGGGGCAAAACAGGGGGAGGGAGGAACAATGTTTTTCTGGTTTCCGGCCGCGGACAAATAAAATACTTAAGTATTGGTCAATGGATCTCTATGAAATTGTACCACAAGGTTCCATACCACACACAGAAGGTTGGGGTTGATTTTGTGGGTTGTGGCTTTAATTGTTAAGAAACGTGAGGCCAAATAAGGGCCAAAAACAAGACTTTCCTAATACTGGCTAAGCTGGTTCTAACATAAATTATTTCTGATCTATATAAAGAAACAACAAATACTGATATGGCAGGAGATACACACCAAACAGGGTGTGTAAATTATTATATTTAGTTTGTTAACAGATTTACTAAGTATTGCGCTACAGCAAAGTATTGCACAACAGCTAGAAATTTTAAATTGAAAATAAATACAATTTTTTTTAACCAATTTCAATGGGGATTAATTTAAAGTCTTGAATTGTTTGAGGTTTTTACCATGTATTACTATATTGGATATTTGGACATTTTTAAATAGGTCTACATTGAGGTCCAAAGGGTGCAAAATTTTTGATTTTTGATCAAAAACTGAATTCTTGTCATTGCTTGTGGTTCTATGATATGCTGAATCTAACTGTGCATTCAGATTTTTAATGTTGGGCCCTGTTTTCAAATTAGTCCATATTAAGGTCCAAAGGGTCCAAAATTAAACTTTGTTTGAATTCATGTTGTTTTTTTTTATATGCTGAATCTAACCATGGAATTAGATTTTGGATATTGGACCATTAAGTAGATTAAATGTCCCATTTCAAATATTTTAGTTATCTGACCACATTTATTCTGTGTCAGAAATCTATATATAACATGTCAAATATTTAATCACTATCCAAATTCAGAGCTGTATCAAGCTTGAATATTGTGTCCATACTTGCCCCAACTGTTCAAAATTCGACCTCTGCGGTCGTATCCAGCTGCTTCAGGCGGAGCACATTTTTAGAATGTTTAAAAATGACAGTCATTATTTACTGTGTCAAAAACTACAAAATTGTAACATGAGATTTCTTGTAAATGGTGTTCATTTACATGTACCTGGTAAATTTTATTTTCACATATTCATATGTCTTTACAAAAATATCATATTATACTTCCACTCTAGGAGTGGGCACTATATTGCACTCAATTTTTCTGTTCGTTCATCCGTTCATACAATGATTATTTCCGTCACATTTTCTCAGGTACAATGTACTACTGAACAGAATGAGCTAGTATTTTGGCAACAGCTTGACAGTGATGAGTTGTAATGTGCGAGCACTTTTCAGATCAGTCTGACACCTACTTCATGTTGACCAATACTTATGAATTATTCAATATGTTGAATGAACTTTCTAAATTTCATCACACATTTCCCCAATATTTCTGAACAGTATGACTTCATAGTTAATCAGCACCTCAGTAGTGACGCATTGTTATGTGTGTGCCCTTTTCTGATCAGTCAGATCAGAGACACAAATTCCCTGTTTGCCAGTATTTAAATTACGAGTAGGGGTATGCTGAGCAGGAAAATGCATGCATTCTTGTTTTTCTTAAAAAAGTAAAAAACAAATTTCTGTCATTTTACATTGCTGTTTATTATGTTAATTATGCATTTCTTTACAGGAAATCAGAAGATGATTATGTAAAGCATTTATCAGCTTTCATACATTGTCATATGGGAAATAGTAATAGGAAATAGTAATAACAAAAATATGTTTTCTCTGTTCAGTGAGATAACACTAAGGAGTACTGCACTGAAAAAATATCCATCTAAAAACCATTGCATGGGACCTTAATTCTATAAACAGATACACATCTTTTAACAACATCCATGTCAATGCATATCGATAAGCCATCATTATTACAAACAATTTTTAAAAGACGGCTAGAAATTTGGAAAAATCACTGTATTGGTACTTTATTAGCATAATTAGCTTTAAGTGTTTCTGTTAGGTTTTTTTGTTTTGATGAAACTGTTCCAATATTTGACTGACTACATCATGTACAAGCACTTGATACATATGTAGGAAAAATCCTAACATATCTGCCAAAAATATTACCACCTGAGAGACGATTTTGTGATTAATTAAAAAAAACAAATTACTTCAACAGAAATTGTAAAACTGCTTTATATAGAATTCATGGAAAAAAGATATTTTAGAAAAACACTTTCTGATCAAATGCAATTTTATAGCTAGATAGCCATGAGGTTTTTTTGTTGTCCACAAATAATGGTAAAATTTCTCTGTTGTGTTGTATTGAAATAATCAGTCCAACATCTGTATCACAAGCCATCAACACTGAGGTTGTGAGTTATAATCCCAATCGTGGCAGGTGCGCTCGACTCCAATCATAATTGACTAGGATTGTCAGTTTTCCTACCAAAAGTCGTCTTTCTCTCCGGGCACTCTGGCTTCCACCACCAATAAAAACTGACCGCTATGAAATAGCACAATAGTGCTGAAAGTGGCATTAAACATTAATCAATCTTATCTTCTATGGCAGGGAATGATTCTATATTTGGTCAAGCTTGATAATGTTGAGTTGTAGGGTCTAAGCAATTTTTATACATCTGCTGTGCAACCACTTTCTGTTTGTTAATAGTTTTGCAATTTGACAGAATTCGATCACTGTACATTAGGTGGCTTCTATGGAAAGGAATGATCAGTTATGCTTCTGTATTATATACATGTTATCTTAATCAGTTGCATGCAGCGATGCAGGTCCAGACCAGATATTGGTCTTTTTTACCCCATTCTCATATGAAGATGCTGCTTAAACAGATTTCCAGGGGATATATCTGATTATGAAATTGACTTTATTTCCTATGTATTTATTGTAAATGAATATAAAGTATAATTGTTACTTTGAAAAATTACAATGGCAGTTAATTAAAGACATGAAAGAAAATAAGATAAATGGACTGTGAACTTTCTTTGCATCAGAAAAAAAATAATAAATTCACATAATTAGAATTGGAATCTGTTAAAAAAAAACTCAAAAAAACGACATTCTCTATTATCATTATTATCAGATATCATTAGAATAATTCTACATAATCAAAGAAAATGGTACTTTTATGACAAATGATGTTCTAGTAGTAACAAACTACTATTTGTTGTAAGGATATGATAGTATTTGTAATGTTACTGGTAATTTTGTAGTCATTTCTATGTAAGAGCGGATAAAGTGATGAAACTACGCCACCTATTGGATAAACTTGGAAATATACCAGGGATGATGAGTGAAGAAAAAGGTAAATCACAAATTAATTTTTCTTAAGTATAAAATAAAAATAAGGTTTTTTTCCCCCCGCCTTCAATATATAGTAGAGGGCATTATTCTGAAATAAGAAATACTTTAAGTGATTATATAAAAGACGAGAAATAAAAGTAAAATACAAAACTAATACAACACCACAGGTCTTTATTGTATTGTTCTAACACTGAACAAAGGATCACACATTCTATAAATTTTGCCATGTGCTATTCTCAGTTTTGGTGATTGTCAAATGTTGATACTGTCAACTGGGGAATATCCATGGCCATTTTGTTTTGCTATACATGAGATCCTCATCGGAAATAAAACTTCAACAACAATGCATTCATGTAAAGCATTCTTCTTGCAAAAACACAAAAAACACTAATAAAACCATTATGATTTATATTTTAATCTGAAAACTATCTCAAATACACTGGCAATTTGAATTCTTCAATAGAACTTAAAAACAACTAAAAATAATATAACATGAAAAGAAGTTTTAACAAAGCTGACTTGAAGCCAAATTGTATGGTATGCAGTTAATTAAGTGTTGGGATTTTTGTTTATATCTATAAGAAGTATCTAGCTTCTTCTTTATTATAGTTTGAAGTGTTATTAACTTGACTTTGAAAAGAAGTACAAATGTAATTTTGGAAAGTTAATTCAAGACAATTAGTTTTTTTTTATTTTGATGAATACTTATTTGTGATTTATCTGCTTATTTTTTAATAGATCCAGAAGAGTTTTTATCCTTATTATTAGGACAAATAACCAAAGCAGACCCATTCCTTCAAATCAAGTAAGTTATGTTAGTGGTTTATCATTTACTACGGGAAAATGATTTAATGTTGTAAACTACTATCTCTAAATATAAAAAAAAAGGTTTTAACCCATTGCAGAGGGGCAGGGTTGTATGGCTACTTGTATTAATTTTAGGTATATTTGTGCTATAGCCCCTACCAAAACAGGCACTGTTCATGAGACTATTTTATATATAATAGTTTTGTACTCTGATCATGACAGATCATGACAGTGGATTGGAATTTGTACATGCTGGTGGAGATTTATTAAAAGGTTATTGTTCAAATCAGTATTAACAAAATAATAATGAACATATCACATTTACATTTTCTTGGAACATTTGGTAGTAGGCTGAACAACAATTTTACCTGATTTTAAAATCTGGTACAGTTATTTGACTCCAAAAGTTTAACCTGTCAATGATTGTAATAGTTTATATGTTGTACTATACCATGTATACTAGTATATAAAAAAACTGAGTCATACACCTTGAAATATAATCTATTCATGTCAGCATGTACTGAAGAAACTGACATTTAATTTTAACACACTGGTGATTTTCATTTATACAAGTATACCAGCATCTCTTTGATGTTGGTAAGAACAGTTGCTGTCATTCATATGTAATATTCAAATTTATGTATTTGACACCTGTGGGTTACCATCCAAATGTATCCCAAGTTTCCTCAGTCATGATTATAATGTGAAGGCACTGATGTTTATAAGTACCATTGAATAGTCCATCAAAACATGACTTGTTGAAAAAAAATCATCATTGAAATAATTAAGGCAAAAAAAATATGGACGTGGTATTATGGTCAATGAGACGACAACTATCCATCAAAGACTAGCTCACTTTACAGCCTTCAACAATGAACAAAAGCTTAACCAAATACCTTGGATTGATTTTTTTTTCTGTGGATATTGATTTTCTTGGATTGATGAAAGTTTGTATTTTCATGGATATTTGTTTTTGTGATTTTCCAAAGTCTGCATACCAACCTATAGAAAAATTTAACTTTGTTGAACATTTACATGTAAATTCTTAGGTAACCTATACCCACGAAATTCATGAAAAAAATTGTATCTTCCAAACAATAAAGAATCCACAGTAGTAAGCTATAATAGGCCATAGGATGACACAATGTGAAAAAAATCCAAAATAGAAATCCAAAAGCTTGACCTATGTCAAAAACAACATAAGAAACACATTTATGGTAGGCATAGTCAATTATATAACTGCATCTTTAATTCATCCATTTTCTCGAACATTTTAGTAAAACAAATTCTATTTGACACTTGTTTAAGCTTAGACAGATAGCCCAAAACAATAATTGTCTCGCCTTGACGGAGTCAAAAAGTGCGACATAGGTATGCTGTTTCCGGCGGCGGCGGTGGCATCAACAATGTATTAGTTTGTGATTAGGTCTAGTTCATGGTGAACCACTAGTGGTAGGTCAATGATATTTGGTATGCAGTTGTATTAGCATTGGCACATCTCATTACCATTTAGATTTTTTGGCCCCGTCCCCTCAGTCATGGTCTATTGACTTTGAAACTTTTCATAGTTTACATGTATTAGTTTGTGATTAGGTCAATTTATGGGGAACCACTAGTGGTAGGTCAATGATATTTGGTATGCAGTTGTATAAGCATTGGCATATCTCATTTCCATGGAGATTATTTGGCTATGCCCCCTTAGTCATGGTCTATAGACTTTGATAATTTTGCTAAGTTAACATGTATTAGTTTGTGATTAGGTCAGTTGAAGGGGAACCATTAGTGGTAGGCCAATGTTAATTGGTGTTCAGTTGTATAAGCATTAGCACATCTCATTTCCATGGAGAATATTTAGCCCTGCCCCCTCAGTCATGGTCTATTTACTTTGAAACTTTTGCTTAGTTTACATGTATTAGTTTGTGATTAGATCAGTTTCAGATGAACTGCTAATGTTAAGTCAATGATATTTGGTATGCAAATTTATTGGCATTTGCAAGTATCGTTTCCATGGAGATTATATAGCCCAACCCCTGATCATGGTTCATTGACTTTGAAACTTTTACATAGTTTACAAGTTAATGTTTGTGTTTAGGTTTGTTTAAAGGGAACGACTTATAATAAGTCAATGGTATTTGGTATGCAGTTGTATTAGCATTGGCACATCTCATTCCATGGAGATAGTTTAGCCATGTACCTTCAGTCATGGTTCATCGAATTTGAATATTTGCATAACTTACATGTTAAAGTATTGCTATTTTAATTTCAACATTTGCATTATCAAAATTACAAAAAGGCGAGACATATCTCTGTGATAACAGTTTATGTGTAAGTAATAGTCATGGTCATAGAAAACTTATATGAAGAAATAATTTCTGTTTAATTCACCAATGAGGACAACTTTTATATTTTTACAGAGCTGAGAATGCTGAAGAAAGCCAACAGTCCTTTTTATTCCAGTTATTTATGGAGAAAGATGAACGATTAGTATTACCCACTACACAACAGTTATTTGAATTATCTTTCTTACAAAACAGACTGAAATTACAAGAGGTAATGACAGGGAATAGGTTATTTTAGTTTCTCCAAACATGCGAAATTTGGATCGGATTGATTTTTTTTTTTTTTTTTAAGGAATGACTGTGATATTTTTTCTGTCTATTAAGAAATAACATCAAAAATGTGGTGCTCACTGAATAACCTGTGTAGCGTAGCAGGTTCCTGTACGAACTGTGACGCCCGTATATGACACGGAAACCAGGTGTACAAATCATACTTTATCTGGGCATCATTGAAGTGTTTAAGGAATGCATGTCCAGGCGTCAACCAGGCGGAAACCAAGCGTAACTGAGGCGGAAACCAGGCGTAAAATTAGGCGTAATATTTAAATGAGTACGCCTGGTCCAGAGAAAACCAGGCGTAATATGCAAATGAGTACGCCTGGTCAATAAATAAACCAGGCGTAATATCCTTACATAATACTATACTTATTTCAAATCAGTGTATTACCCTAGCTGTGTACTTTTGTGTATTTAATACAAACTTCTGTACTGTTGCTTTAATTTCTCATTGTTTGACATAAAACTGGAAATATTTACCTTTGAAGAAGCTAATATATAAATAAATTACATTTTAGACAGACACTAGCTCAAATAAGTTTAAAGTTTAAATAAGAATTATGACAATTAATTTTTCTTGAAATAAAACTTAAGCATTTTAATGAACTAAGTTTTTTATAAATTAATGTCCTTTAAAATATAATGATAATACTGCAATTTAACTTCATGTAAAAGATTTTAATGTTATTATCCAAGGATAAAGGTTTTGGGATTTCAAAATTACTGTTAGAACTTAAAACTTAATAACTTAAGTTATACTCACATAATTATTATTTACCATGTTTTACTTTCCATTTTTTTCACAATTTTTATTAATCAATTTGATTCCATATTTCCAATTTCAAATTCTTCCAAAAAGCACAAAACAAGCTAATTATCCCTGAACGTATGAAGCTGCCATAAGTCCAACTCTTGCAAACTAAAACCAAAGAGCCAAATTTTGAAAAAAATTCCCATGATCCTTTAAACAAAGCATTATGGGTATTATGATTTACGCCATACCAACAGTTTTACGCCCGTAAGAAAATTTACGCCTTGCTTATTTCAATTTACGCCAGGTTTACCACTTTTTTCTACGCCCTTAAGGACTACAAATTTACGTTTCCTGCTCCCTTACGCCTGGATCTAGACACGTAACTACCACTTACGCCTGGTTTACGCCTTATTTCCAGGCGTAATACGCCTTATAATTTCATACGGGTTATTAAAAAGTGTGCACCACATTTTTTAGGTTATTTCGAATAGACAGAAAAAATATTACAGTTATTCCTTATAATTTAATTCTAAATTTCATTTTAAGGTAGATAGGGTGTCTTCCTCCATCTTGGATTTTGAAATACCAGAAAATAATCGGTCTAGACCTTTAATAAAATGTGCAAATTTTGAGAGTAGTGGGTAATTCATGTGTAAGAATTTACATTTTAATATAGAAAATGACATGTTTTATTATATTTATGGTTGTATTTTACAAAAAACAGAATACTTTTGTTTGATTCAATTTTTTCCAACTTTGCCACATAAGGGGAGGCAACTCAAATGTAAGGGCAGATAATTCAAATAAAGTTACTTTTACAATAGAATGTGTTAGGAATTTATCTATTTTATTATGTAGCAAGAAAACGGGCCCGGTGACCCCATTTTTTCTTTTTCTTATCTGAAAGTATAATATTAGAGCTATCTTCTCATATTTTATCTCAAAATTCTATGGTGCAGTTTTCGTTTTATGGCAGAAAATTGCGTTTTCCATGCATAATCTATACAAAATCTGTCAATTTTGCACAACCTGTAGCGTGAAAATAAGCCCCGTGACCCATTCTTTTTATTATTTTTTCCAAAAAAGCATGATATAAACTACATTTTGGCAAATTATTAAAAAAAATCTATGGATTATAATTTAGACACCCCATCTACCTTAAGGAGTAAATCATGAAAAAACGTTAATGACGTCACAGTCAAATGACAAAATTATGTCCATGAGCTGATAGACAAAAAACTTTCAGCCAATCAGAAGACATGTTACATCCAAAACTGAATTATGTATTAATAAAATGATTGGTCTTCATTATTTGAGCATGAATTTATCATTTTCATTAGTTGGCAAAGAACACCTAACAGCTTCTTAGATTACATACACCAATCAACCCTATTTTTCACATCACAATTTTTGTGCATTTTATACCCAATCACCAGAATAATCATTACTTCTATTAGTCAATACTAATTAAGAGACGAGAGATACCAAGGAAACATTCAAAACTCATAAAGTGAAGAGAAACCGACAATGCCATGGCAGAAAACAAAAAACTATCTAAATACAAAACAATCCACAACATACATAGAACAAAGAACCAAAACCGTCGGTGATATCAGGTTCTCCAGTAGGGTTAGCAGATCCTGCTGCACATGTGCCACAAATCTAAACATTATATATTTCCAGAATGATCCAAGATATCACTTCTATGGTTTTTATCTGAGTAGCTTGCAGGAAAAAACATTTGATCCATATATTTTGCTTGAACAACTATTTTAGTTACAATGGTCGTATGTTTTTTTACTGTACATTGGATGGATTAATGGACTGAAGCAAATCTGATGCAATCATTTTACAGTGTTTTCCCCAGGCCCTTAAAGGACCGCGGGTCTGCAGTGGTATAATTTTTTAGTGTGATTCCATCAGTCTTAGCGTGGTGGTATAATTTTGGTTACGGTGCTAAAATTTTCAGTTAAAAAATCGTAAATCAGTAAGATTTTAAACGACTTGTTCAATCCTGTGACAAGTCGGTAAATACTTTGTACACGAACAGTGCCAATTTTTGTACACACGTTGGAACATTTCTTTGTACATAATGAATTGTTGGCCCATTACAGATAATTGACAATTATAAAGTTCTCAATTCTTTATGAAGCACATAGTAAAGCTATCCTTGTAATACATATATGATTATCGAAATTCACAATGTCCGAGCCAAATGCAAAACTTTGTAAGATAGTTGACAACAGCCTCACCTGTCGGTTGGGGAAACCCAACAATAGTACAACTACCACTGAATCATGCCCTTCTCCAAACTCAAAAGTAAGACAGTCTGGTACAAATCCATGTTAGATTATCACGCAAGACAAGAAAGGTTAATATTTACATGAAATTTATATTTATAGCAAAATGTTTATGAATTTTTTTTTATGTCCCTGCCGAAGCCGAGGGGGCATTAAGTTTTACCCTTGTCCGTCCGTACGTCCCAAAATTGGTTTCCGTTCTCTAATTTAAGTTTGCCTCAACCAAATGTTATCAAACTTATACACAATGTTTATTACCACAAAACACAGATCAAGTTTGAATTTTGGTGGCGTAACTTTAACCGTTCTAGAGTTATGCCCCTTTATAAATGGAAAAATTGTAAAATTTTTGTCTAGCCTTGACGGCTAAGTTTTTCAGCAATTTTTCCATTTTTTTTCAAAAAATATCAATGTCATTATTCAAGTAATTTTTATACGACCGCAAAAAAATTTTTGTGGTCGTATATTGGTATGACGTTGGCGTCGTCGTCGTCCGGCGTCGTCGTCGTCGTCGTCGTCGTCGTCGTCTGGCGTCGTCCGGCGTCGTCCGAAGACACATTGGTTTTCGCACTCTAACTTTAGTTTAAGTGAATGGATCTCTATGAAATTTTACCACAAGGTTCAATACCACAAAAGGAAGGTTGGGATTGTTTTTGGGGGTTATGGTACCAACAGTAAAGGAATTAGAGGCCAAAAAGGGGCCAAAAATAAGCATTTTTGTAACTTCCAGACATAACTTGTGTGTTAGTGTATGGATCTCTCTGACATTGTACCACAAGGTTCCATATCACAAAAGGAATTCTGGGATTGATTTTGGGGGTAATTGCCTCAAAATTTTAGGAATTAGGGGCCAAAAAAGGGGCAAAAAACAAGCATTTTTCTAGTTTCATAACAATAACTTGTGTGTAAGTGTATGGATCTTTCTGAAATTGTACTACAAGGTTCCATATCACAAAGGGAAAGCTGGAATTGAGTTTGGGGGTAATTGCCGAAACGTTTAGGAATTGGGGGCCAAAAAGGGGCCAAAAATAAGCATTTTTCTAGTTTCCAGACAATAACTTGTGTTCAAGTGTATGGATCTCTCTGAAATTGTACTGCGAGGTACCATACCACAAAGGGAAGGCTGGGATTGATGATGGGGGTAATTGCCTCAATATTTTAGGAATTAGGGGCCAAAAAGGGGCAAAAAACAAGCATTTTTCTAGTTTCAGGACAATAACTTGTGTGTAAGTGTATGGATCTTTCTGAAATTGTACTACAAGGTTCCATATCACAAAGGGAAAGCTGGGTTTGAGTTTGGGGGTAATTGCCCTAAACGTTTAGGAATTTGGGGCCAAAAAGGGGCCAAAAAACACATTTTTCTAGTTTCCAGACAATAACTTGTGTTCAAGTGTATGGATCTCTCTGAAATTGTACTGCAAGGTACCATTCCACAAAGGGAAGGCTGGGATTGAGTTTGGGGGTGATGAATCATAAGGGGGTTCAAAATATTTGTGGGGGGGGGGATTTTTTTTTTTTTCATTTTTTTTTTCTTTTAAAATTTTCCATTTTAAGTTGGTTATTTCTGATTTATATTTAAAATCAAATAATAATGATATGGTAGGAGATACACACCAAACAGGATGTGTAAATTATTATATAATAAGTATTGTGCAATAGCAAGAAATTTTCAATTGCGCAGTATTGCACAATAGCAAGAAATCTTCAATTGCACAGTATTGCGCAATAGCAAGAAATCTTCAATTGCACAGTATTGCGCAATAGCAAGAAATATCCAATAGCACAATATTGCGCAATAGCAAGAAATTGTCAATTGTACAGTATTGCGCAATAGCAAGAAATATTTAATTGCACAGTATTGTGCAAAAGAAGATACTTCGTATAAATTGCTTATTTCTTGACCAATTTCAATGGGGTTTTATTCTTGAATTCTTGGGTTTCTTTAATATGCTGAATCTAACCGTGTATTTAGTTTTTGGATTTTGGGCCCCGTTTTTTTAATTGGTCCAAATTGAGGTCCAAAGGGTCCAAAATTAAACTTTGTTTGATTTCATCAAAAATTGAATTATTGGGGTTCTTTGATATGCCGAATCTAACCATGTATTTAGATTCTTAATTTTTGGTTCTGTTTTCAAATTGGTCTACATTAAGGTCCAAAGGGTCCAAAATTAAACTTAGTTTGATTTTAACAAAAATTGAAATCTTAGGGTTCTTTGATATGCTGAATCTAAACATGTATTTAGATTTTTGATTATGGGCCCAGTTTTCAAGTTGGTCCAAATCGGGGTCCAAAATTCAACTTTGTTTGATTTCAACAAAAATTGAATATATGGGGTTCTTTGATATGCTGAATCTAACCATGTATTTAGATTTTTGATTTTTGGGCCGCGTTTTCAACTTTGTCCACATTGAGGTCAAAAGGGTCCAAAATTAAACTTTGTTTGATTTCATCAAAAATTGAATTCTTGGGGTTCTTTGATATGCTGAATCTAACCATGTATTTAGATTTTGGATATTGGACCATAATAGGTGAATGTCCAATTTAAAATTTTTAAGTTCTTAGACCACATTCATTCTGTGTCAGAAACCTATGCTGTGTCAAATATTTAATCACAATCCAAATGCAAAGCTGTATCAAGCTTGAATGTTGTGTCCATACTTCCCCCAACTGTTCAGGGTTCGACCTCTGCGGTCGTATCAAGCTGCGCCCTGCGGAGCATTTTATTAAAATTGGAGTTATCTTCCTTTGTTCATGATTATAGTTAAATCAACTACAATCAATGCTTTATACAATGCAATGTTTAATTTTGCCTTCCACTGATAAAACACAGATCAAGTTGAATTTGGGTAGTGTTACTTTAACCATTATTGAGTTATGCCCCTTTATAAATCGAAAAATTGCAAAATTTTTAGTTTCCATTCTCTAACTTAAGTTTGCCCCAACCAAACATTATGAAACCTATACACAATGCTCATAACCACAAAACTAAGATCAAGTACAAATATTGTTTCCGTTCTCTAACTTTAGTTTGCCTCAACCAAATGTTATGAAACTTATACACAATGCTTATTACTACATAATACAGATTAAGTACGAAATTCAGTGGCGTCACTTTTACCATTCTTGAGTTATGTCCCTTTATAAACATAAAAATTGCTGAATTTTTCGTTTCCGTTCTCTAACTTTAGTTTGTCTCAACCAAATGTTATAAAACTTATACACAACCGTTCTAGAGTTATGGGTGTTTACAAATAGAAAAATTGCTGAATTTTTCGTTTCTGTTCTCTACTTAAGTTAGCCTCAACCAAATGTTATGAGACTTACACACAATGCTTATTACCACAAAGCTCGGATCAAGTTCAAATTTGGGTAGCGTCACTTTTACCGTTCTTCAGTTATGTCCCTTTATAACTATATGATATGCAAGCGGGGGCATCATCTTTGTCCACATGTGGACACAATCCACATTTATTTTATTTAAATTTAAGATAGAAACTGGTTCTTATAATAAAACAATGTTTGTTCTTGTAAATTTTATATCTTCTTATGACAGGAATCCTTTTATATTATGAAACAATTTACTATCTAGAAACTAGAATTTTTTTTAAATTGAACATTTTTTTTCTCTTTTGACATGTTTGAATAATATTTTATTTTTATTGATCATGGATTTTATAAAAGATTTTTTTAGATGTCAATTTTGTAATGAATCATGTTTTATTATTTTTTTTAAAGATATTAAAGTATAAACACTGTTTATTGATTTACTTCTTTTTCTTGTTTCAAAATTCCAATAGGGAACATATATTACATTATAGTCGTAAATAAACCATTTACTTCTTTTTTTCACAAATAATTTTCTGACTCAGTGTCTACATAACACAGTACCACAGTATTAAAACAAAATAAAAGACAAAAAGCTTTAAGGTAATGACATAAAAACTATCCAGAAATATAGCACAGCGATGCAAGGCAACACAACTGATTGTACGAATCATTTCACCACACGTGTTGCCCTGGTGCTATCCAAAAATCCTGGGGTGAACACTGCCTGTATTTTTCTTCTGTCTTCCAAAGTTACAGCATTAGATGCATTATAAATGTATGAATTGTACGGTATAAATATTAATGTTTTTAAGAAGATATGACTCAAACATAATGTTTATTTTTACAACAAACATTATAGAAGAAAATAGAACTTAAAATTTTTGCAAGAATTTCTATTTATATAATACTGTGAATGCAGAAATTTTTTGCATGCCTTTAGTTTGTGATTTTTGATGAATGGAAAAAAAAAATGTAAGATTAACTATTGCTATTTCATTAAATGTCCCTTACAAATATTGCTATTAAAGATTTAGCTTTTGCAATACCTTTTCTGGTGCAATTTTCCCAATGATTAAAATCTTTGCAAAAAAATTCTTTATTTACAGTCATGACAGTAACTATCACTTGACAATGGCATACATATCATTGTTTTATTATTTTTTTGTAGCGACCTTCATGTCTCATCATACAGATGCCAAGATTTGGTAAAGATTTTAAGATGTATAAAAGAATAGTCCCCAGTGTAGAATTAGATATAACAGATGTATTAGAAAAAGGTACTTTTCTCTCAATTTTCAGGCCTGAATTTAGAATTTAGTTTTCTTTCTATGTTTTTATACATTTACCAGCTAAGAATGTAACTCTTTATCATATTTGTAAAAAAAAATCTTCATTTCATAGTTTTTGTCAGAAACCGAAATAAACATTAACATACACTAGAATAGCTGATAATGACACAAAAGAAAAACTATATAGTAAACAAAGCGGCATGATGTTATAATCTGATTTGTTTCTTTGTCTAAAGGCTGATAAGTGTACATGAGATGTGTTATTAAAAGCTGAGCAGGGCTTTATTAACCTAAGGGTTTCTGGTCTTGCTGTCATAAACTTTTGAGAAAGAGTATCATACAGGTACTTGAACTCAAATGAACCAATAGAAATACTGGATTTGGTGTTTCCAGCACAAATTTTGTACTCTGAGTACTGAGTAAAGCTTTATGACCGAAGGCCCTAGTCTTCTTATTTATAGGTTTTAGTGCTGCGGTAGGTAACACTTTATATTTTGAAAATGAGAAGAGTCTTGTTTTATTTTCAGCCCCCCGAGAGTGTAATATATGTGGAGATTTAGCCTGTTTTGAATGTAGAGAATGTTATAATACCCATGGTGATGGTCTGAATACGATAGCTTTCTGTAAACCTTGTAAAGATAGGGTAGGTAATCATATGATACACAGGTTTATATTGCCATATCTGTACATTGTGGTAGACATTTATATCCACTTCTCTTTCTATAGAAATAAGAAGATGTGGTATGAGTGCCAATGAGACAACTCTCCATCCAAGTCTCAATGTGTTAAAAGTAAACAATTATAGGTCAAAGTACGGCCTTCAACACAGAGCCTTGGCTACCCATATCCACAATTTGATGAAGCTTCCGCAGAATCTTTACCATATAACGCCATTGTGCAGCTCCTATTTTGATTATAGTCCAAATTATTTTTAGGGTTTCCCTTACCAAAGCATGGACTTTTTTGGGGGGATACTCATTTTGTATCTGCAACTTCTCCTAAACCAGTTATTAAAATTGAGAATGGAAACGGGGAATGTGTCAAAGAGACAACAACCCAACCAAAGTGCAGAAAACAGCCCAAGGCCACCAATGGGTCTTCAACACTGCGAGAAAATTCCGCACCGAGGCGGGCTTCAACTGGCCCCTAAACAGTAATGTATACTTGTTCATTGTCATGCTAAACTCTGAAACATATAAATGAACTCTCGCTCGGACACACACTCCATTATCTTTTTATACGACCGCAAAAAAATTTTTGTGGTCGTATATTGGTATGACGTTGGCGTCGTCGTCGTCCGGCGTCGTCATTGTCGTCGTCGTCGTCCGGCGTCGTTTGGCGTCGTCCGAAGACACATTGGTTTTCGCACTCTAACTTTAGTTTAAGTGAATGGATCTTTATGAAATTTTACCACAAGGTTCAATACCACAAAAGGAAGGTTGGGATTGATTTTGGGGGTTATGGTAATAACAGTAAAGGAATTAGGGGCCAAAAAGGGGCCAAAAATAAGCATTTTTGTAACTTCCAGACATAACTTGTGTGTTAGTGTATGGATCTCTCTGACATTGTACCACAAGGTTCAATATCACTAAAGGAATGCTGGGATTGATTTTGGGGGTAATTGCCTCCAAATTTTAGGAATTAGGGGCCAAAAAAGGGGCAAAAAACAAGCATTTTTCTAGTTTCATGACAATAACTTGTGTGTAAGTGTATGGATCTTTCTGAAATTGTACTACAAGGTTCCATATCACAAAGGGAAAGCTGGGTTTGAGTTTGGGGGTAATTGCCCTAAACGTTTAGGAATTTGGGGCCAAAAAGGGGCCAAAAAACACATTTTTTTCTAGTTTCCAGACAATAACTTGTGTTCAAGTGTATGGATCTCTCTGAAATTGTACTGCAAGGTACCATACCACAAAGGGAAGGCTGGGATTGAGTTTGGGGGTGATGAATCATAATGGGGGTTCAAAAAATTTTGGGGGGGGATTTTTTTTTTTTTCCTTTTTTTCTTTTTTTCCTTTTTGTTTCTTTTAAAATTTTCCATTTTAAGTTGGTTATTTCTGATTTATATTTAAAATCAAATAATAATGATATGGTAGGAGATACACACCAAACAGGATGTGTAAATTATTATATAATAAGTATTGTGCAATAGCAAGAAATTTTCAATTGCACAGTATTGCACAATAGCAAGAAATCTTCAATTGCACAGTATTGCGCAATAGCAAGAAATCTTCAATTGCACAGTATTGCGCAATAGCAAGAAATATCCAATAGCACAATATTGCGCAATAGCAAGAAATTGTCAATTGTACAGTATTGCGCAATAGCAAGAAATATTTAATAGCACAGGATTGTGCAAAAGAAGATACTTCCTATAAATTGCTTATTTCTTGACCAATTTCAATGGGGTTTTATTCTTGATTTCATGGGGTTCTTTAATATGCTGAATCTAACCGTGTATTTAGTTTTTGGATTTTGGGCCCCGTTTTTAAATTGGTCCACATTGAGGTCCAAAGGGTCCAAAATTAAACTTTGTTTGATTTCATCAAAAATTGAATTATTGGGGTTCTTTGATATGCCGAATCTAACTGTGTATTTAGATTCTTAAATTTTGGTTCCGTTTTCAAATTGCTCTACATTAAGGTCCAAAGGGTCCAAAATTAAACTTAGTTTGATTTTAACAAAAATTGAATTCTTAGGGTTCTTTGATATGCTGAATCTAAACATGTATTTAGATTTTTGATTATGGGCCCAGTTTTCAAGTTGGTCCAAATCGGGGTCCAAAATTAAACTTTGTTTGATTTCAACAAAAATTGAATATATGGGGTTCTTTGATATGCTGAATCTAACCATGTATTTAGATTTTTGATTTTTGGGCCCCGTTATCAACTTTGTCCACATTGAGGTCAAAAGGGTCCAAAATTAAACTTTGTTTGATTTCATCAAAAATTGAATTATTGGGGTTCTTTGATATGCCGAATCTAACCGTGTATTTAGATTCTTAATTTTTGGTTCCGTTTTCAAATTGGTCTACATTAAGGTCCAAAGGGTCCAAAATTAAACTTAGTTTGATTTTAACAAAATTGAATTCTTAGGGTTCTTTGATATGCTGAATCTAAACATGTATTTAGATTTTTGATTATGGGCCCAGTTTTCAAGTTGGTCCAAATCGGGGTCCAAAATTAAACTTTGTTTGATTTCAACAAAAATTGAATATATGGGGTTCTTTGATATGCTGAATCTAACCATGTATTTAGATTTTTGATTTTTGGGCCCCGTTATCAACTTTGTCCACATTGAGGTCAAAAGGGTCCAAAATTAAACTTTGTTTGATTTCATCAAAAATTGAATTCTTGGGGTTCTTTGATATGCTGAATCTAACCATGTATTTAGATTTTGGATATTGGACCATAATAGGTGAATGTCCAATTTAAAATTTTTAAGTTCTTAGACCACATTCAATCTGTGTTAGAAACCTATGCTGTGTCAAATATTTAATCACAATCCAAATCCAAAGCTGTATCAAGCTTGAATGTTGTGTCCATACTTCCCCCAACTATTCAGGGTTCGACCTCTGCGGTTGTATCAAGCTGCGCCCTGCGGAGCATTTTATTATTATATAATAAGAGCATAAACCTAAAGCATGATGAGGCACAATTCATTGAAACTATCCCGCAATCTTTACTATATGATGCTATTGTGCACCTCCAATTTTGTTTTTAACAGAATTATTCTGGGTGTTTCCTTTGCCATTGTTTTATTTGGGTAGAATTTTTTTGTGTTGTAATTTCAGAATTAACAGTATATCAGATCCTGCAAAATAATATTTCTACTCATGGACTTTAGACCTTTTTTTTTTTTTATAACAACTGATGCATCCAAAAGGGTCCTGCAAAAAAAGACTCTTTGTAATATGTAGCTGTTTTAACCTAAGTGATATTTAATATAAAACAAATGTATTGTAGAATCATCTACACAAATTACGAGCTCGACATCAACCCCAGAAAATATGTGTTCCTGAAGAATACTTGGAGTATCATAGTCATCAGAAAACTATTACGGGACAAAATCCATCAATTAGTCGTGACAAAATGGAACTGTTTGCTGTTGTTTGTATACAAACAAGTCATTATGTGTCGTTTGTCAAATGTGGACCGGGAAAAGATGCACCCTGGGTATTCTTTGATTCCATGGCTGATAGAATGGGTAAGATAATTTGGGGGAGGAGAGATTGTCATTGTTCTGTGCATGTTTGTTTAACAAGAGGAAATAATGCTGCAAAGTCAAAATAAAGCAAAAGCTTCCATTACTAAATTCTCTAAGGAATTTTATAACTGTGAATTCAGAAATTATTGTGAGATTTTGATTAATTCGAATAATGCAACTAGGTGAGTATTGCAATAAAAGGAACTCAAACTCTGATATTTATTACATACATCTGTATGCAGAATTTCCTGAAATCGCAATTATTAATCTCGCATTTTTGTCCATTCTTCAAAAATCACAATAACTTCTGTATTTACAGTACTTACCCTACTTAGATTATTAACAGTTTTGTGATATGGGAATATATCCTAACAGAATGAGGTAAAGAAAAATTTTTGTTGTAATTTTTTTTATTATCTTTCACTTTAAGTTTTAAATTATTCTGCCTTAATATTTGAGACGAGAAAAAAAATCTAAATTGGTCAAACAAGAGGCAATTAACTGAGGTAGTCACGTTTTTAACCAGTTATTCTGACAGAAACCAGACATTTGATTTCGGTTTGCTCTTCAAGAGTTATTGTCCTTGATTGATTGAAAAAGGGCACTTTATGTTGGTTTCTGTTCATTCACTTGAGATCTGTTTAACCACTGCTTTTTATACGACCGCAAAAATTAAAAAAATTTTCAAAGTATATTGGTATGACGTTGGCGTCGTCGTCGTCGTCGTCGTCGTCTGGCGTCGTCCGGCGTCGTCCGAAGACACATTGGTTTTCGCACTCTAACTTTAGTTTAAGTGAAGGGATCTCCATGAAATTTTACCATAAGGTTCAATACCATGAAAGGAAGGTTGGGATTGATTTTGGGGGTTATGGTACCAATAGTTAAGGAATTAGGGGCCAAAAAGGGGCCAAAAATAAGCATTTTTGTAACTTCCAGACAATAACTTGTGTGTAAGTGTATGAATCTCTCTGACATTGTACCACAAGGTTCCATATCACAAAGGGAAGGCTGTAATTGATTTTGGGGGTAATTGCCTCAAAATTTTAGGAATTAGGGGCCAAAAAGGGGCAAAAAACAAGCATTTTTCTAGTTTCATGACAATAACTTGTGTGTAAGTGTTTGGATATTTCTGAAATTGTACTACAAGGTTCCATATCACAAAGGGAAAGCTGGAATTGAGTTTGGGGGTAATTGCCGAAACGTTTAGGAATTGGGGGCCAAAAAGGGGCCAAAAATAAGCATTTTTTCTAGTTTCCAGACAATAACTTGTGTTCAAGTGTATGGATCTCTCTGAAATTGTACTGCAAGGTACCATACCACAAAGGGAAGGCTGGGATTGAGTTTGGGGGTGATGAATCATAAGGGGTTCAAAAAATTGGGGGGGGGGGGGGGGATTTTTTTTTTTTCTTTATTTTTCTTTTTTTCCTTTTTTTTTTTCTTTAAAATTTTCCATTTGAAGTTGGTTATTTCTGATTTATATTTAAAAGCAAATAATAATGATATGGTAGGAGATACACACCAAACAGGATGTGTAAATTATATAATAATTATTGTGCAATAGCAAGAAATTTTCAATTGCACAGTATTGCACAATAGCAAGAAATCTTCAATTGCACAGTATTGCGCAATAGCAAGAAATCTTCAATTGCAATGTATTGCGCAATAGCAAGAAATATCCAATAGCACAATATTGCGCAATAGCAAGAAATTGTCAATTGTACAGTATTGCGCAATAGCAAGAAATATTCAATTGCACAGTATTGTGCAAAAGAAGATACTTCGTATAAATTGCTTATTTCTGGATCAATTTCAATGGGGTTTTATTCTTGAATTCTTGGGGTTCTTTAATATGCTGAATCTAACCGTGTATTAAGTTTTTGGATTTTGGGCCCCGTTTTTAAATTGGTCCACAGTGAGGTCCAAAGGGTCCAAAATTTAACTTTGTTTGATTTCATAAAAAATTGAATTATTGGGGTTCTTTGATATGCCAAATCTAACCGTGTACTTAGATTCTTAATTTTTGGTTCCGTTTTCAAATTGGTCTACATTAAGGTCCAAAGGGTCCAAAATTAAACTTAGTTTGATTTTAACAAAAATTGAATTTTTAGGGTTCTTTGATATGCTGAATCTAAACATGTATTAAGATTTTTGATTATGGGCCCAGTTTTCAAGTTGGTCCAAATCGGGGTCCAAAATTAAACTTTGTTTGATTTCAACAAAAATTGAATATATGGGGTTCTTTGATATGCTGAATCTAACCATGTATTTAGATTTTTGGGCCCCGTTATCAACTTTGTCCACATTGAGGTCAAAAGGGTCCAAAATTAAACTTTGTTTGATTTCATCAAAAATTGAATTCTTGGGGTTCTTTGATATGCTGAATCTAACCATGTATTTAGATTTTGGATATTGGACCATAATAGGTGAATGTCCAATTTAAAATTTTAAAGTTCTTAGACCACATTCATTCTGTGTCAGAAACCTATGCTGTGTCAAATATTTAATCACAATCCAAATTCAGAGCTGTATCAAGCTTGAATGTCGTGTCCATACTTACCCCAACTGTTCAGGGTTCGACCGCTGTGGTCGTATCAAGCTGCGCCCTGCGGAGCATGTTATTAAATTTTAATATGTTGTTACTGATATCATATAAGGTCAGGTTGATGTCATATAAGGTCAGGTTGATATCATATAAGGTCAGGATGATAATGACAAATTTCACTTTTGTAGTTCAGTTTTGTTATTTGTTTGATGCCCTTAGTAGATTAAACAACGACACTAAAAAATGTAATAAAAACCCGGCGGTTTGTCATTTTGACAGCCTCTTGTTAAGCAGTTGGACTAAATAAAAGAATTTTGTTACAAAAAAAAATAAATTCTGCCATGTATGCTTCTGATTGTATATTATTTTTAGAAAATGAAAATTAGGTTTTCAATAGGGCTTATTGGGTACTTTTATATGTGTGGTCACTACTTTCAATTGTGCCAAACAATAATCACTAAGTGAGTAATTTTTGTAGCAGATATCCTTGTTGTTATTCAATTTAAAGGTAGAAAGATTAGGTCTAATGGGGTTTTAGAGGAGATAAAAATTATGATCAAGAAGGCACATATGTCAAACTGAAATGGTAAATTTCCCCACAAATAATGTCCATTCATATCAATCACTACATAGTAGAGAAACAATGGTTCAGATTCCTAAGAAAACCTTTGCAAAAGTTCAAAACGGAAAATTTAGTGGGAAAGGATAGATCAGTCTGATATGGAAGTGGTGTTAACGGCAGTTTTGAAGTTTTCAGTTTAATAGCTCAAAAAGTTTTTTTTTAAGTAATGTTCAAGCTACTTTACTTTTAATTGAGTAATTATTAATTCCATCAATGAGGGATAATATAGGTTTATTATGTTTTCTTTACAGGAGAGCAAAGTGGCTACAACATTCCAGAGGTACAGTTTTGTCCTGATTTAAATAAGTGGTTGTCACCTGAATACAACAAAGAGATAATTAAACGTGAAGACGACAAAGATTTACCAGAGAATATCAAACGTCTGCTATGTGATGCTTACATGTGCATGTATCAATATAGTGATGTAGCCATGTTTAAATAATGTTGTGAAAATATCTCTCAATTCTGTCACGGATATTTATAACTGTCCAGAAGAAAAAGAAGATTCAAAATGTGAACTTTTTCTGAAATTTGTTAATATGATATTCAGATTTCTAAAAAGGACATTTAAACTTGTTAAAGATTTAAAAAGAATTGAAGAATATTAAGTTAAACTAGGGAAAGTAACATCACAAGTATTTTCACAAAATTTATTTTAAGTCTTTCAAAAATTACACAATCATAATCATTCCTGCGATTTTGTTTACAACTGTCAAATATTGATAAGTAATAATGAAGATGAAGATAAGGTGAAGATATATGATAAAAACAAAGTCCCATGTTTAATCTGTTTTTCTTATGAAATGGATAAATGGGGTTTTAAAATCAAAAAAATTTTGGGATGATTGGGTAGACAACTATATCTACTCTTGACTGGAATTGATTAATGTAACATGTTTAGAACCATTTCATTTTGTAGTTGAAAAGATAATTAAGCATTGTCATACAAGCTTAGACATTGAATCTGCATAGAACTAACTTACTCAGAACAAACATTTGTTAACAGTTACAGGACAGACACAGCTCTTCTATTGGGTTATAATTTATATTGTAACCTCTATATGTTGACAATAATTGGAAGTAATCTCATATTTTTTATTCACTTTGAAATAGTTTGGAAAGAAACAAGATTTTTTTATCCCAGTAATGGTTTTATTAAAAGGGCATTGTAAACTAGACAAACAACATCTTCTATATATGTATATTTACAAATGACAATGTTATGATTTTAGTAATTTTATATCAGTTACTGTGGATTTACAATTATGTTTGGCATAAAAACTGTGGTTCATTTTGTGGGTATAGGTGAGCTATGAATTTTAATGTTCAACATGATACTTTTCCTATAGACTTCAATGCAGAATTTGTCAAAACCACAAAAATCATGTATCCACAAAAATACAATTCTTCATCAAACCACCAAAATTAATATACACTAAAAAAAATATTCTCAGAAGTCCATTGCCTGATATGCCTGAAGGACAAAGACAATTCTACAAGGTCACAATTCTTAAAAGAGCTTTTTTATGCCCCACCTACGATAGTAGTAGGGGCATTATGTTTTCTGGTCTGTGCGTCCGTTAGTTCGTACGTCTGTCCCGCTTCAGGTTAAAGTTTTTGGTCAAGGTAGTTTTTGATGAAGTTGAAGTCCAATCAACTTGAAACTTAGTACACATGTTCCCTATAATATGATCTTTCTAATTTTAAAGCCAAATTAGAGTTTTGACCCCCCAATTTCATGGTCCACTGAACATAGAAAATGATAGTGCGAGTGGGGCATCAGTGAACTATGGACACATTCTTGTTCTCTTGGGAGAGAGTGGAGGGAGAGGGACTATGTCACTTGAAAGTTTTTTTGAAATAATTTTACTTGTACATGTATGAAGAATTATGACTATAGTTCTTTAATGTATAAAAAGATATGAAGTTGTCTTAAAAATTTTAAACCAAAGGAAAGCAATATGTAGTAGAGAACATAAAAGAAATATTTATACTGAAATCTTAGCATCACAATATTAAAAGAAAATCTGCATTAGCAAATGTGTCGGTGTAGACAGTAGAGCATTTTTTGTAGCAGATTGTATGATTAAAATGTTTGTCCCCTTTCATAATATCAAGTCACACTGTTATATAATTTGGATTTTTTAAGAAAAAACTATGTTATAGCTTGGAGATATCTGCTCTTCTTATTATCACACATTGTATTGTTTTATTTTTCTCTGAATGAATGACTTTGAATAGATGGATATTTGCATAGTCCCTTTAATGAAAAGTAGTTAATTGTCATTGCATTATCTGCTAAATACCTTAGTCTAAATTTTTTATCAGTTAGATATAATATAAGCAATATTAGAAAGATCTTTTTTTACTTACTTTTTACAGTGAAACCTACCCATATCAAACCCCTTTTGGACTAATGATTTTATTTGATCAACACTGCTCAACAGTTAAATACATTTTTTTTGTTCAAGAGTTAATTTTAAACAGGCGCCCAGTTTACACAAGATTCTGTCTAAATAGATTTCACTGCAATAAGTATTGAATGTTTAGCCAAATTAAGTGATGTAAAATTCAACAGCAGTACAAAATGTATATTTACTATATTTCCTTTTATTAAAGTAAGATGTTTTTTGGTCAATCTATGACTTTTATCTATGCAATTTAACAATTTCTACCTTTTTAATCTCACTATGATGTATATTTTCTGATGAAAGTTTTAATTTTTTTTATTGGGTAGAACATGTATACTTAGCTACAAAACTTTAACTTCATAGTGAAAACAAAGGTATACTATGACTAAGTGGGAAAGCACAAGTAAAATGCAAATTACGGATCATCTCAGAAGTTCTCATAGACATACTAATTTTTTAATAATTTAAACTTTATATTTAGCCGGAAAAAAAACATACATATGTCGGTTTTAATCCACACAAAAATGTCAAGATTTTTTGCTAGTTTTCCAAATGATAGCCGGCGATTAGGAACATTTTTTATTTCTGTACTTGGAAAAGATGGAACAAAAAAATAGATATTGTACATAATTTGTCTTCTTGATAAATCTTGAGATTACTTATTTGGAAACCAAGTAAAATATCATGTGAAGCAAATACACTTATTTATAAAAATGTTGCTTAATTTTTATCAAGTTTTGTAGTTAACTAAATTATTTAACAGTATGGAGAAACATACAATTGCATGGGAACTTCTGAGGTGATCTTTACCAATATATTGTTTTACAACAACAAAAACTGACAAGATTGTGTGATCTGAGTATGTGTATGATGATCACATGATACATTACATATGAACATGTGATCTGAGTATGTGGATATGATGATCACATGACAAATTACATTTAAAGACATGTGATCTGAGTATAAATGTTGATCACATAAGTCTAGTATGAGTCTTTCTGTAATGGCAGCTGAATACCAGATTGTATTAAAGTACATGTGTTAGTGTGGTGCCTAAGTATTAGAGTGGTCAGTTTATGTTATGTTATAAATGAAAGGTTTGGTTTGACCAAAGAGGGAGTTATAGATTGTTGTTGTTATAGAGTTGAACTTGTTTCTCAGTGGCCAGTTTTATGTTAGAATCTGTTTGTTTTATAGATGATGTAATTGCAATTGACTGTTTACTTTGTAAACCAAACACACCTTGAACAGAGTTTTTTAACTTATAAATAGGCTAGAGGTAGCACATATTGCCGAAAAATGTCTTTTGAACATTTCTACATTTGATTTTCCACTTAACAATAGAATTTATTATAAAAGTATGAAACTTCATTACTGTTTTTTATTGCACATTTGTAAGTGAATTTATGACCAAAATACATATATATCTCTGACAAACCAAAAACCTTAAAAAAATGCTGAAATTCTTGTTGTTTTCATGGGTTGGTTTTGTCACTTGTTTTTCATTGAGAAGTGCAAATATTTCCAGATAGTGGGGGTTATCAACAGATTATATAGGAGTTATTCAAGAACTGAAAATTTAATACAAATTTCTGTTGTTCACAGCTAGAATGAAACCTGATTTTTATATACACATGAGACTGCTTGGCAACAATTATATATAAAAAGTAATCAGAATGTCACACCTTATCAACCTTATATGAGCAATGTTACCAAGAAATTCCAAGAGTTTGTTGATTAAATTAAGAATTAGCACAATATCTGAACTGAAAGATTAACAACATCTTCATAATTTAAAATGGCGGACAATTTCCTTGTATGAAGTTGACTTACACATGACACATACATTTCATTTAGGTATGATTTGAAACTCTCATGCTTACATATTACACTGACAAGCATTGGTTTGTATTTTTTAGAATATTTGACAAAATGTTGTTAGAACATTGTATTTTTTCTGCTCTGTATAAAGATGTGCAGTGTGTCTTCCATGTTAAAGTTGTGATGTTCGTATTTCTTCAACCCCTTATAGAAATCGTGATTTTTTTGCCAATAGAAAATTTGTGATTATTTTCTGCCCAACGACTCTGTATAGATTAGCTTAGATTGGCTGTGTTGTCTGCCTGATTGTTAACTTATTTATAAATACTTGATGTTTATTCTTTTTATAATAAAATGCAATAAATCTTATGATCTCCAGTCATTTTCATTAGTCTGTCAGCCAATTCAGAGCTCATATTTTTGTAATGTATTATACAGGATGCCAACTGTATTACTGGAATACTATATGTGGCTTAAGAAAAACAGCAATAATATATGATTATATCTCAGGAATGCATGAATCTTGTGTAGGTATCCCTCCTCTAATTTCATGATATCCAATCTATCAGATCATTCTAAAACATTCTATTTACAGCTGAACTATTTGAGTGTGTACTTCATGCACAATTTATGCTTGTTTGTTAGGTGAACTAAAAATTCTATATTAATCTTAAAAACTGGTCAAACAGGTTTTTCAATTACTCTTTTGTAGCCTGTCCCATTGGCTAGTATTAACTATTGTTACTCTTCAGAAGGTACTAAACTAAGTTACTGGTATATAGATTTTATAACAAGCAAACATTTTTTAAATATTTAAGATATATATACTGTAAACTTGCTGAAATGTCTCACCTGCTTTACTTATAATGATTGAATTTCATACCATACATAAACTATAGGACTATGCCTTATAGTATCCGTGAAACAGACCTAATTACGAAAATTGAACATTGATGAATGAACAATAAAAATGAGGTCACGGTCAGATAAATCTTGCCGGACAACATGAACACCATGCAATCATTCCATACACCGATTATAGTTGACCTATTGCTTGAAGTATCTGAGAAACAGAAATAACTATGAAAACTTAACATTGACTAATGAACCATGGATATGATGTCAAGGTCAGATGAAATCTGCCAGACAGATATATACACCTTACAATTATTCCACACATCAAATATAGTTGTCCTATTGCTTATAGTATCTGAGCTACAGACTTGACAACAAAAACTTATCACTAATCAATGAAATGAGGTCGAGGTCATGTGAATCCTGTCTGATGAACATGTAGACCTTGCAAGGATCCCATATACCAAATATTGTTATTCTATAACTCCTAATAATTGAGTACTGGTATTACAGTAATAAATTTTTTTCAAGCAGTCACTGAACCATGAAAATGAGGTCTAGGACAATGAACATATATGGCAGTCAGAAACTTCGTATCACAAGGCTTCTGCGTACAAGGTATGAAGCATGTAAGTCTACTACCTTTAGAAAATATTAAGCTTTATACAAATAGTTTACGCTGTAGCTGGATTGTAATCCCTATGTCTCGCATTCTGCGACTTTTCCTTGCAGGTGAGACAAAAAGGTTTCATCACTATGGATATTAAGATGAGAAACTCTCAGAAATAATTTGTAGTGTTTGTAGCACTTTTCTCCTTAAGTTTCATAACATCACTTGTACCTATATTAATAGTTGGCATCTGTTGTCCTACACCAGTAGTTCTCATACATGTATTTTGTAGGATACTTAGAGATGATGTTTAGCTGTATTTCATTCTTCTTGTATAGAACCAAGTTTTTAACGTATATTCAGGCTTATTAGCAAAATGTTCATTTCAATTAAGGAAATAAAATATTGGGAGACTTTTCGGAGGATAATAATATTGTAAATTTAATGATACAATATTATTTTGTCCCATACTGAAAGGAGGCTACCAAGATTCAATAGAAAGTATTTAAGAATTTCCATCAACATCAATTCTCTAAACAACAAAAAACTTTCATGCATTTTACCCATCTTAAACATTGTTTTTTTTTTTCTCTAAATGCTTTAGCTGAAATTAATTCCAAGGAGAAATCATGTCTTTTTACTGTATCTTGGCAGAAAATTGAAAGATCTCTTTGTCAGACTTCGATTGTAAAAGTTCTGTGTTTGTAAAATTCAAATCAAATTACTTAACAGAACCACAACTGTAAATACAAATAACACAATCTAGATGTTCTTATTTTGTTCTGAAAAAAGTAAATACTGTAAATTCTGAAATTATTGACAGGTTTTTATTAATGCGACTGGGTAAGTATCGCAATAATAAGAACTTACATTATGATATCTAATGCATATATATATGTATGCACCTTTTCCTGAAAAAGCAATAATTAATCTCACATATTTGTCCATTCTTCAATAAACTGCTTCGCTGAGCGCAGCTGGATACGCCCGTAGAGGTCCAACCCTGAACAATTGGGGCAAAAATTGACACAATATTCAAGCTGTTGTGCAATACACTGTGCTGTTGCGCAATACTTAGTAAATCTGTTGTCAGACTATAAACAATTAAAGTTAAATTAATTCTCAATGTCATATTAGAAATTTATGAAAATGTAAAGAGAGCTTGCATCAATAGATATAAACAATTCACCAAAGTTTCATGAGAATTGCTGACAGCATTTTTGAGTTATTGTCCAATAAACTGCTTCGCTGAGCGCAACTGGATATGCCCGCAGAGGTCCAACCCTGAACAGTTGGGGCAAAAATGGACACAATATTCAAGCTTGATACAGGTCTGAATTTGGATTGTAATTAAATATTTGATATATTATAGGTTTCTGAATAATTGTAGTCAAAGAACTTGAAATTGGTTATATGAAAGATTTTTTGCTGTTGTGCAATACACTGTGCTGTTGCGCAATACTTAGTACATGTGTTGTCAGACTATAAACAAATAAAATCTTGTAACTCTGAAATGTAAAATCGAAAATTTATAAAAATCAAAAGGGAGCTTACAAAAATAGATATAAACAATTTACCAAAGTCTCATAAAAAATGCTGAAAGCATTTTTGAGTTATTGTCCCAAAACTGGAAAATCTCCCTTTTTGTAATGAATAAAACCCCATAAATAAATATTCTGAAATTTATAAAAATCAAAAGGGAGCTCATGTCAATAGAAATAAACAATTCACCAAAGTTTCTTGCAAATTGGTGAAATTGTTTTTGAGTTATTGTCTGAAAACTGGAAAATCCCCCCTTTTTTAATGAATAAAACCCCAAAACTCGGAAACGGTAAATCCGAAATTTATAAAAAACAAAAGGAGGCTCACGTCAATAGATATGAACAATTCACAAAAGTTTCATGCAAATTGGTGAAATTGTTTTGAGTTATTGTCTGAAAACTGGAAAATCCCCCCTTTTTTAAAGAATAAAACCCCAAAACTTGGAAACGGTGAATCCGAAATTTATATAAGACAAAAGGGAGCTCACGTCAATAGATATGAACAATTCACAAAAGTTTCATGCAAATTGGTGAAATTGTTTTGAGTTATTGTCCGCAAACTGGAAAATCCCCCTTTTTTAATGAATAAAACCCCAAAACTCAGAAATGGTAAATCTGAAATTTATAAAAAACGAAAGGGAGCTCACATCAATAGATATAAACAATTCACCAAAGTTTCATAAGAACAGCTGAAAGCATTTTTGATTTTTTTGTCCGAAAACTGGAAAATCCCCCTTTTTTTATGAATAAAACTCTGTAACTCGGAAACGTAAAATCTAAAATATATAAAAATTGAAAGGGAGCTCATGTTAATAGATATATACAATTCACCACAATTTCTTGCAAGTTGGTGAAAGCATTCTTGAGTTATTGTCCAATAAACTGCTTCGCTGAGCGCAGCTGGATACGCCCGCAGAAGTCCAACCCTGAACAGTTGGGGCAAAAATGGACACAATATTCAAGCTTGATACAGGTCTGAATTTGGATTGTAATTAAATATTTGACATATTATAGATTTCTGAATAAATGTAATCAAAGAACTTGAAATTGGTTATATGAATTGAATTTATATTCAATTAAAGATTTCTTTCTGTTGTGCAATACACTGTGCTGTTGCGCAATACTAGTAAATCTGTTGTCAGACTATAAACAAATAAAGTTCAATAACTTCTCAATGTTATATTAGAAATTTATAAAAAAAACTAAAGGGAGGTTATCTTAATAGATATAAATCAGTCATCAAAGTTTAATGAAAACTGCTCTAAGCACTTTAAGGATATTGTCCAAAAACTTGAAAATCACCCCTTTTTTATGAATAAAATCTTGTAACTCGGAAACATAAAATCTAAAATTTATAAAAATCAAAAGGGAGCTTACAACAATAGATATAAACAATTTACCAAAGTTTCATAAAAAATGCTGAAAGCATTTTTGAGTTATTGTCCGAAAACTGGAAAATCCCCCTTTTTGTAACGAATAAAACCCCATAAATCAGAAACGTATAGTCTAAAATTTATAAAAATCAAAAGGGAGCTCATGTCGATAGCATTAAACAATTCACCAAAGTTTCTTGCAAATTGGTGAAATTGTTTTTGAGTTATTGTCCGAAAACTGGAAAATCCCCCCTTTTTTAATGAATAAAACTCCAAAATTCGGAAACGGTAAATCAGAAATTTATAAAAAACGAAAGGGAGCTCACGTCAATAAATATAAACAATTCACCAAAGTTTCATGCATATTGGTAAAAGCATTTTTGAGTTAATGTCCGACATGTTGATGACGGACGGACGGACAGACGGACGGTCAACGGTATACCATAATACGTCCCGTAAACGGGCGTATGAAAACTGGAAAATCACCCTTTTTTTAATGAATAAAACCACATAACTTGGAAATGTAAAATCTAAAATTTATGAAAAATGAAAGGGAGCTCACGTCAATAGATACAAACAATTCACCAAAGTTTTATGCAAATTGGTTAAAGTGTTTTTGAGTTAATGTCCGACATGTTGACGAAGGATGGACGGACAGACAGACAACAGTATACTATAATACGTCCCGTAAACGGGAGTATAAAAATCGCAATAATAAATGTATGCAATAATTTCTGAATTAACAGTATCTATATCTCCAACAAATGTAGATATGTTATTTCTTATTTCTGTCTTTTATACCTGGGACATTTTTATCAACTGTTCATCTTTGACCAATCAAAGTATAGCATACCATCACACAGATGTTGTAATGCCCAAAGTTGTTCAGAAAGAAATTAAGATAGTTTGTAAGTCAAAATAAAACAATTTATTATACATAAAACAGTGTCATCTAGAAAACTGTAAAATTAACAACATGAATGGATTTTTTGTGAAGATAACTAAAACTACATATAACTGAACTAAAAATCTCATATACATGACTTAAACATAATAATAAAACATATACAATTATGTACAATAATAGACAGTTCTTTTAAGGCCATGCTCAATCCAGAGAACAGACTTCTCTATAACTTATTAAGATCCGAGTAGGTTTAATAGAGAAAATTTGTTAATTAATTTCTGCTTGGCACTGTAAAATGTAGTCTGGTACAATATAAAATCAACATGGCCTTTAATCTCTCAATACCAAAGTGACATTCCAGTATACAGGTATTACAAAAGGTTATTATAAATGTCTTGAAAGTGTGGTAATCACATCTTACAAATGGGAATAGAAACTTAATATCATCAATACTGAGATCTTTAAAAACTGGATTTTTTTTGTCCAATGAAAATTCATAAGCATAATTCAAAGCTTAACCAGTAATAACCGATCTACAATGTATGTATTTCCATTTTTTTAAAGTTATTTGATGTAAAATTTTGTGTAATATATATTAAAGATGAAAATCAAAAGTTTGTATTGTGGCTTATTCCTTTGAAACAACTGACCTTGCTTAAAACTTTTCTTTTTAAGTTGTTTAACTTGGCTGCAAAATAAAAGTAAAGACCAGGAAAATAATGTTTCTTTAGGCTTTATACTTAATTTGATAACTTCCTTATAAACATGGAAACAAAGATAATACAAACGAAAACATTTATTTCTATTTTCATAGAAACACTTTTATGATATTTGAAAGAAACACTTGTAGTTTCAAGACTTAGGAAGAAGCTGTCAGAATTCTGACAGTTTTTTTGTTGTTCTCATTTTGAATACTTGTGATATTAAAAACTGTCATACATTATACAAGATACTTCAAACAAATTGTACAGCATGTCTGAAAACATAAAAAGTCATTACAAGATTAGATAAAAGAATAATGCAAGACTATGCTAAAATATTTTCCAACATTAAGATTATTAAAAAAAAAGGGAAAAGACTTCCTTTGAAACCCCCTCTGTTGATAGAATAAGCACAGACATACACGAAGGGGGTCAAAAAGGAAGTTTTGCCAAAAAAGATATAAATTTACATGCCACACCATCTGGGTATAAGGCAAAACAAAGCAACTCAATATATATCTAGCATAGGTATTACAGGTACATAAACAAAACATATTACATCAAATCATAAAATATTAGCCTACATTTTACAAAACAGAATCCTTATACTTTTACCTCTCTGCATAATAAACTATAAACTTTCATTTCAATGTGACCTCTTACTATTATGAATGTAATTCATACTGCCATCAATTATGCATATGTGTACTAACTCACAGTGTTATGTTCCCTCTAACTTTAACACTGATACATAAATTTAATCAAGTAACATAACCTGAATATATCTCATCAAAAGCTCTGAACATTTTTACATTTTATATCTAGAGATACTTCTAAAAACATGTGCTTAGAATAAGTTCAACCTAAATGGCAAAATATCTTCTAAGGCAAATGGCCTTCACATTCTTCATACAGAAATAGAACCATAGCCTACACATTTCTCACATCTAAACAGACACATGTCCTTCATGTTCCTCATATGTAATAAAAACATCTACCTTGATGCACTAAAACATATGTTCAGCTTAAATAGCAACACTATCTTCTAAGACACACAGCCTTCATAATCCTCATTCAGAAATAACACCATTGGTGGTGTTTTACACCACTTTCAGCACTCTTGGCGACCAGTTTTTGTTGGTGGAGGAAGCCAGAGTGTCAGAGAGAACCAGAGACCTTTGGCAGGACAACTGGCAGTCCAAGTTAATAAAGAGTTGAATGTACCTGCCACAAGGGTTCAAACTCACAACCTCAGTGTTGACAATCACAATTGTAGTGACAATATAACAGATATTTTTGATGCAATAGCATTAATATTATATGTAATGTACATCAAACTAATGGAAACAAGATTTTTCATATCATTAAGAAAACTGATTTACTCAGAAACAATATCTTCTTTTGAAGTATCTAGTAGAATCTATTCAAAAGAATGTAACATAAACTTCTCTAGGGCTGTTCCAGATTTAAATGCATTTGGGGATGGGAGACTTTCAAATTAATTTATTGTGGGTGGTTGCATTTGTTTTAGAATTTTAATAAAATAACAATTTTATTTTATGGGTGGTTGAGGTCTAAAAAAGTGTCTCCCATTCCCCCATGCCTTCCATTCTGGAACAAAGTAGAATTTTCTACATAACATTTCAAAAAACATTCCTTTTATAATTATCATAAATGATTATGATTTTATAGAATGTATGCTTCATTAAATTGATAGATTGCTGATTTTTATGAGAAAACCTGTATAGGTAAATCTAAAACAAGGGTTAATAAATTACAACTATTTTGTGTTTAATAGTTTACTGTATATGTATCAATTCCATACCTCAAACTATTAACACCGGAATCAAAATTCACCTCACAGAGGTGATACAGGAATTTCATTTAGAGATCACCTACTATATAGCATATCAAAAATGGTTTTCATTTTCCTCACTTATTTAAGACAAAACTTACTATTTTTCAATCCATTAAAGGGGTGAAATTTTTAGAACTATTAACTCCCTCTGAACCAACCCTGTTTTACTCAATTAGTGTTTGTCTTGATATTCTATATCTATTACATTTTCTTTGTAATTGTTTCAGATTTATACTCTTTAATCATTTCACAAATAACAGGGACTTTAAATACATTTAAAGTAAGAATTAATCAAACTATTGAGATGTTTTTTTATTAATGTGAATAATTCAATATTAAGAACTTGCATTTTGATATCAGATACAAATATCTGTATGCAGCTTTTCCTGAAGTTGCTATAACTTATCTCAAACTTTGGTTTGTCATTTCAAAATCACAATAATTTCAGAATTTACGGTATTTAAAAAAAAACATTTTATATCCTTTCTTTCCTTTTTGTTACATAGTGTATCTGTCTTCTTAGACTGACATTAAGCATAATAAAATAAAAATAACTGAATAAAAAGGAATTAACAACTTGAAATACAAAAAAAACTTATATAATCATAACAGCACTAGATGTAAAAATAGTAATATTGAAACATCTATGTACATAAACAATCGATGAAAATTCATGATGTAAGAGGTAGAAGGCCTCCTCCGATCATGCATCAACTGAATTAGGAGGCTTGGTTTATGTGTCTTTTCTGTTTGTTTATTCTTAATCCATATTCACCTCAGACCTGAAATCATAATATCAATAATAATAATTCAAAAAAATTTATGAAAAGTCATATGAGATTTATAGCTATTCATCAAACCATCATATGCCAAATATCGTCACCAAATCTGCAAATACACATCAGGATTGAGAAGATTGCGCTTTGAATGAAAATTTCCCACTCCAATAGCCATATTAAAGGGTCTGGATGGGATTTAAAGAATAGAGAATAAAGGCAAAAAAAAAAAAAAGAATATAGAAAAATGAGAAAAAAGTATAAAGAATAGAAAATAATGGGGTGGAAAGTATAAAGAATAACTGTGGAAAATAAAAGAATTATGTAATACAATACTGATTACAGAAATGGACGATGTATCATCTAATAACAGAAAGATTTACTAGTAAAATCATTTTCATTTTACAGAATAAGTGTTAATTTTAAAGATTAAGAAAAATGCCTTAAAAATTTAAAGAATACAGATATTAAGGACCACTTCCAGACCCTCATATTAAGTTGTATGTAAGGACAGGCAAACCCAAATTAAAATAAATCTGCAGCTATTTATTATGCAACTAGTCAAAATTGAATATAAATATAACCCTCAGGACCAGAGAAAACTGACCTTATAAGAGAGGCCACCTTTGAATTGAGGTTAAAATGCATAGATTTTACAACAGCGATACAAGAAGAGGATGACTAGATAAGACAGATTTTCCCTTAAAAGAGGTGACCTTTATAGCAGGTTTTACTGTATATACTTAATTCTCTTCAATACGTCCAATAATAGCTAACATCTAATGAAAACACTGAGATTTTCATGATAATTTCAGGCGAGTCAAAACAATTTAATTTTTTATGTTATGTATATATGCTATTTTTATAGATACATGTAACAGTAGCCATGTCAGCTGGTTGGAAGATATTTAAATCACAATTCAAAAGAATACCACTAGAGATAAATTACATCAAAATTAGTAGCAATTGGTTAGATTTTTTAAGATGTGAAACAAATTTTAAAATGTAAATGACAAATGACAATAGTACACATGGTCTTTGTTAGGTATTCAAGCTAAAACTAATTATATGCATGATGTAATTTACTTTATAAAGTAGTTATACTCATAATACTGAAGTGCTAGCAAGCAGACATATAGCAGATGATAAGATATTTATGATGGAAAACTTTTGTCAAGAAATATGTTGCTGAAATGATTCCATCAAAACTTCTAATAAAGCAATACACTAATTTTCTGATTATTCACTATTAACCTTTCAATTAAACTTAACTGATGAAAGAAACAGCATAAATACACTCAGATTTAATTCATTCGTAAAAAAAGTAAAACTTTGCACATCAACTCTGAAGAGTAAAGTGTCAGTTGGCCAAACCAATTTGATAAATTTGAAGATTGAATTATTTTGCTAACATTCAGAAGCTTTACAACCTCGATAGAAAAAAATCTATATATACTCAATCAGTTGAATAAATAGGTTTTAACATGTTGGTTTTAACATGTTAAAAGAGCTATGGTGACCAATGAAAAGAGTTTAATTACGAAACATAGGTAAGATGTGCCCCAACTCACTCCTGAAATGAGTCCATATCGTCTGTCATATCAAACATACTGCTATCCTGTACTATCCCAGAGTCTGTGTAGGAGGAACTACAATAAAACAACATCTAATGTCAAACCAAACAACAACATGAATGAATATCATTTTACTTTCACTTCAAAATTTTACTTTTTTGCATTTGAAATTGAATAGACATAAGAAGATGTGGTATGAGTGCCAATGAGACCATTGCACAAAAATTTTGAAATCAAGGAACTGTTGCTTTAAAAAATTCAAGGGTGTTTTTTAACTTTTGAGATAAATTTGCTGAAATTTATTGTCAATCCAAATTTAAAAAGAAAGACAACTTTGCAGTCAGGGACCTTTATCATCCATGTTGCTGTAATCCAAAACTAACAACACCAAATTGTTGATGTGAATGACTAATAGAAAGATTTATGAAATGTTTGAGTGTATAATTGAGCCAACAAATTTACATTATATCAATTTTGTTGCAAGTTGTCAAATCCATTCACAGCATTTTTATAAATGCACATATTGGGGAATATCAGAAAGGCATTTTTATGAAATTTTGTAGATGTTAGGTTTTAAAAAAATTAGCATTGGACATGATATTTGAAATTTTATGCATTAAGAACAACAACATTTGTCCAATTTCGATGTTTCAAATCAAAAGGATTATGGGCAATATCATTGTTCTTTTGTCAAAATTAAAATGGTACTCCACCATTGGTAACAAATCATTGTTTATGATAGAATTAACCAACGAAATATAATCAAGAATTTATTAGAATCGAAATGGCATATTTTGCAAGAAATTCGTCAATCGTAAAATGTAATTTGGTTGACTCAATAAAAATTACATCAATACTGCAGTAATGTGAGAGATTTAACATGATAGTATTATATGAAAATGTAATGATATGATTTGAAAGCTGTGTGTGAAGTTTATAAACTTTGCCAGCAAAGCAACAACTGCAGAGTGACAAATTATTCTGTAGATGAGAGTAGTAAAATAATTTTACAAGCTTTAAAGTACTGAGAGGCAAATATATTATATACAGCTGTTTTCTATATCTCACTTACAAATTGTAAAAGTAACTATATGTATGTATCTGTGCTTAACTTAAGAAAATATAATTTGTTCTTAGTGTATATTTTTATCATTATACTAGGACATCATACTATCCTGTTAATCAAAATTAGGTTTTCTCAGCAACTTAAGTCCCATCCACTTTTTATTGCCTATCATATAAAATACTAAGGGCTATTCCATTAAAATGTATGTGGGAGGGTAGGAAGGGACTTTCAAAATATCCCTACAACCAAGAACCATTTTTCAGATAATTTTGCATAATGGTAATAGACACATACTGAAATAAATTGCTTCGCCGAGCGCAGCTGGATATGACCGCAGAGGTCCAACCCTGAACAGTTGGGGCAAAAATGGACACAATATTGCTACAGGTCTGAATTTGGATTGTAATTAAATATTTGACACATAATAGGTTTCTGACACAGAATATCTGTAGTCAAAGAACTTGAATTGGTTATGTGATTTGAATTTATATTCATTTTTTTGTTTTTGTATGCTGTTGCGAATTGACCACCCCCCCCCCCCCCCCCAAAAAAATTTTTTTTTTTACCCCCCTCCCCCTTTTTTTTTGCAAAAAAAAAAATAATATTTGAAGAAATTTTCTTTTTAATTTCTGAAATCTTAAAAACAAATTGTTCCCACCCCCCCCCCCCATTTTTTTTAACCTCCCCCTCCCCTTTTTCCAAAAAAAATTCTTTCCCTCATGATATGGTCATAATCTCAATTAAAATTTCCAATGGAGTTTGCAACCATAATGACCCATTTAAATACATCATAAAAGTCTTTAATTAAATTTTAAATTACCTTGATCAGCATTTTTAAAATAGTAACTTCTAAAAATAAATTGACAGCTAATCACCTCAAGACAATACAACATTCCTTTATACATAATTTAAAAGCAGTATAAGGGAGGAAATTCAAATGTTGTGTTTGAATTACCTCTCTTGCACTGCTTTTAAATTATTTTTTGTACTTAAGTAATTGTCCATTAACCAGGACACCCTTGTTTTTCCCCCTTTTTTGCCCCTAATTCCTAAACGGTTTGAGCCATAACCCCCCAAAGCCAATTCTTACCATCCCTTTGTGGTATGGAAACTTGTGGTATAATTTTAGAGAGATCCATACACCATTCCACAAATTATTGTCTGGAAACTAGAATAAACAGCTGCGCCATGAGCGCATGATACGCCCGTCGTCTTGTGTGTGAATTTTTATGCAATAAGCATAAATAGTTTCTGTCATACGGCGTGACATGCAAAAACCCCCTTTTTTTTTTTACAAAAAACTCAATATCTCTAAAATAAAATTTTGAATCAAAACCAAAAAGTATACAGATCTTTAGATTAATATAACTAAGAAGTGTGTAAAATTTTAAGCAATAATCATAAATTGTTTTTGAGATACGGCGCGACATATGAAAACACCCCTTTTAAAAAAAAAAAATCAATATCTCAAAAATAAAATTTTGAATCAAAACCAAAAAGTATACAGATCTTTAGATTAATATAACTAAGAAGTGTGTAAAATTTTAAGCAATAATCATAAATCATTTTTGAGATATGGCGCGACATGTGAAAAACCCCTCCCCCTTTTTTTACAAAATACTCAATATCTCAAAAATAAAATTTTGAATCATCACCAAAAAGTATGCAGATCTTAAGGTTAATATAACTAAGAAGTGTGTAAAGTTTTAAGCAATAATCATAAACTGTTTTTGAGATACAGCGCGACATGTGAAAAACCCCTCCCCCTTTTTTAACAAAATACTCAATAACTCAAAAATTAAATTTTGAATCATCACCAAAAAGTATACAGATCTTAAGATTAATATAACAAAGTAGTGTGTAAAGTTTTAAGCAATAATCCTCAATTGTTTTTGAGATAAGGCGCGACATGTGAAAAAAAACACACACCTGTTTTAGTTACTAAGTCCCGTAACTCAAAAAGTTTTAATCTTATTTTCACCAAAAAGTATACAGATCGTTTGACCATCATAAGAAACAACTATGTTAAGTTTTATGAAATTTGGATAAGTCATTCTCAAGTTACGGTGCGACATGTTTACGCCGGACAGACAGACGGACAGACAGACAGACGGACGCCGGACATTTGTATAACATAATACCATAATACGTCCCGTCAAAAATTTGACGGGCGTATAAAAATGCTTATTTGCGCCCCTTTTTGGCCCCTCATTCCTTAACTGTTAGGACTATAACCCCCAAAATCAATCCCAACCTTCCTTTTGTGGTTATAAACCTTGTGTTCAAATTTCATAGATTTCTATTTACATTTACTAAAGTTATTGTCCGGAAACCAAATGTCTTCGGATGACGAAGACGACGTGATACCAGTATACAACTGCAAATTTTTTTGCGGTCGTATAAAAAGACCCATAACCCACATTCAATAATTAAACTTCCCTTCCTACCCTCCCACAGACATTTTAATGGAATAGCCCTAAATAAATTGTCTCCCATGTTAAAAATTTTTTTTTTTTTATTGAAACTTGCATACTACAACTTAAATAGAAGATATTTCAGGTGAAAGAACATTGAACTGTTTAAAATATGACTACAAATTTATCACACCACAAAAACACACAATTCACTACAACCAATTAATCCCACTGTCTATACTTATATATGTTACATGATGACTGCGGAGTCTAATATTTATTTGTACTATTCTGTTATTTTTTAAAGATGAAATGCTGTGATGAAGCATTAACCAGTTAAGATCAGATCTACAAGTATTTATGAATGTATACCTACATTTACAACCAATGGATAACTTACCTTGATGAACGACAGGTAAAGAACACAAGACGTTTCAACTTCTTGTTGTAGAAGAAATAATTGAAGGACCAAATACACCCTGCTTCTCCATATGGATCTGATGCTAAATCTGGATTGTAACTTTGTAAAAGCAAGAAAGAAAAAGAATATGTAATACATAAATGCATAGTGCCTACAATGCAAAGGAAAGAAAATCAGATCAGGGAATGGTGGATTACTCCTATTTAAAGACAAAGTATGGCAACATGCCACAATCACTAAATGTTGTCAAACTTCCAGTTCTGTCTTCTTTAACACTTGAAATCTTTGGATACATTATTCTGGTACCAGAAAGAAATGTTTGAAAAATTGATGTGAAGAGAAGGGTGCAAACATAATTTGAATAAAATGCTCCGCAGGGCGCAGCTTGATACGACCGCAGAGGTCGAACCCTGAACAGTTGGGGCAAGTATGGACACAACATTCAAGCTTGATACAGCTCTTAATTTGGATTGTGATTAAATAGTTGACACAGCATAGGTTTCTGACACAGAATGAATGTGGTCTAAGAACTTAAAAAATTTTAACATTCAAGCTTGATACAGCTCTTAATTTGGATTGTGATTAAATAGTTGACACAGCATAGGTTTCTGACACAGAATGAATGTGGTCTAAGAACTTAAAAAATTTTAAATTGGACATTCACCTATTATGGTCCAATATCCAAAATCTAAATACATGGTTAGATTCAGCATATCAAAGAACCCCAAGAATTCAATTTTTGATGAAATCAAACAAAGTTTAATTTTGGACCCTTTTGATCTCAATGTGGACAAAGTTGATAACGGGGCCCAAAAATCAAAAATCTAAATACATGGTTAGATTCAGCATATCAAAGAACCCAATATATTCAATTTTTGTTGAAATCAAGCAAAGTTTAATTTTGGACCCCGATTTGGACCAACTTGAAAACTGGGCCCATAATCAAAAATCTAAATACATGTTTAGATTCAGCATATCAAAGAACCCTAAAAATTCAATTTTTGTTAAAATCAAACTAAGTTTAATTTTGGACCCTTTGGACCTTTATGTAGACCAATTTGAAAACGGAACCAACAATTAAGAATCTAAATACACGGTTAGATTCGGCATATCAAAGATCCCCAATAATTCAATTATTGATGTAATCAAACAAAGTTAAATTTTGGACCCTTTGGACCTCAATGTGGACCAATTTAAAAACGGGGCCCAAAATCCAAAAACTTAATACACAGTTAGATTCAGCATATTAAAGAACCCCAAGAATTCAAGAATAAAACCCCATTGAAATTGATCAAGAAATAAGCAATTTATACGAAGTATCTTCTTTTGCACAATACTGTGCAATTGAATATTTCTTGCTATTGCGCAATACTGTACAATTGACAATTTCTTGCTATTGCCCAATATTGTGCTATTGGATATTTCTTGCTATTGCGCAATACTGTGCAATTGAAGATTTCTTGCTATTGCGCAATACTGTGCAATTGAAGATTTCTTGCTATTGTGCAATACTGTGCAATTGAAAATTTCTTGCTATTGCACAATACTTATTATATAATAATTTACACATCCTGTTTGGTGTGTATCTCCTACCATATCATTATTATTTGCTTTTAAATATAAATCAGAAATAACCAACTTAAAATGGAAAATTTTAAAAGGAAAAAAAAAGGAAAAAAAGAAAAAAAAAGAAAAAAAAATTCCCTCCCCCCCCAAATTTTTTGAACCCCCTTATGATTCATCACCCCCAAACTCAATCCCAGCCTTCCCTTTGTGGTATGGTACCTTGCAGTACAATTTCAGAGAGATCCATACACTTGAACACAAGTTATTGTCTGGAAACTAGAAAAATGCTTATTTTTGGCCCCTTTTTGGCCCCCAATTCCTAAACGTTTCGGGCAATTACCCCCAAACTCAATTCCAGCTTTCCCTTTGTGATATGGAACCTTGTAGTACAATTTTAGAAATATCCAAACACTTACACACAAGTTATTGTCATGAAACTAGAAAAATGCTTGTTTTTTGCCCCTTTTTTTGGCCCCTAATTCCTAAAATTTTGAGGCAATTACCCCCAAAATCAATTACAGCCTTCCCTTTGTGATATGGAACCTTGTGGTACAATGTCAGAGAGATCCATACACCTACACACAAGTTATTGTCTGGAAGTTACAAAAATGCTTATTTTTGGCCCCTTTTTGGCCCCTAATTCCTTAACTGTTGGTACCATAACCCCCAAAATCAATCCCAACCTTCCTTTTGTGGTATTGAACCTTATGGTAAAATTTCATGGAGATCTATTCACTTAAACTTAAGTTAGAGTGCGAAAACCAATGTGTCTTCGGACGACGCCGGACGACGCCAGACGACGACGCCAACGTCATACCAATATACGACCAAAAAATTTTTAATTTTTGGGGTCGTATAAAAATGGTCCACCAAAGGATTGATTCCCTCAAATAAGCTACATGTATGTAGCTAACTGCAGATAAAATTACCATAACTGGTGTTTATATCACTATCATAATATGGTGATTTTGTTTTGATAACAGTATGACCAGGTAAAATTTTAAAACTTTAAATCATATAAAAATATTGAGGGAACCTATTATTTGTTAGGTTTTATAAATTAGAATGAAAATTTGTACAAGACCATTAACAGGCTTTCTTGTATATTGCTAAAGACCATATTTTACCTTTATTTGTTGTTTGTGCATTGTGTGATGTTGTGTTGCTACATGTATCTCATTGACAAATACATGACATCTCCTTTTATTCATATTCAAGAATATGTTTAAACCTGTAGTGTAACTTTATGATTTTATTGTGATGTGTTTAAAGTTATATATATTAAAGGAGGTTTGTAAGATTTTAGCTAAAATATATAAATTTCAGGAACATTTTTTAAAGTCTAAATAGCCATAAAATATGTAGCCTTTCATTTGGCATATTGGAAGTAACAAAAATGATTTTAGGGGCGCTTTTGGCCCAAATTGGACCTTCTTTTATTTCTTTTATTTCAATGCATACCTGTAAATTTCACAGTCCTGAAGAGAACATTCTTCATCAAATGCTGTCCACAGATTTTGTTTCAAGGCTCCATAAGCTTCACCAAGAGTCGCATACAACTGTGTATCAATGTTGTGAGCTACCCACTGTAATACAATCAACAAAAGATGAGAAATTTTTGTTTTGTAAACTTTTATTTTATCAATTTTGTATTGCATGTACATGTATAGATTGAAAACTTCAAATTCTTTCCAAGCCAGTTCTATATTTTTTTGGCTTGACACTGTTCTACCATAAAAAAAAAAATGAAGCAAATATAGGTCACCATATGACCTTGGCAATGAGCAAAACCCATACAGCATAGCAAGCTATAAAGGGCCCAGGATGATAACTTTATCTGAAATTGTTTTAATATGCTTCTAAAAGTATAATTTCCCTCCAGCCACCTAGTTGCTAAAGTGGTACATGTATATTTTCCTCTAGTGAGTCAAGTGTATTTACCTCAAGGCTTGGCTCTTTACTGAACTCTTCACTCTTGGCATTACTGAAGTCGTAATCAGGATTAAATGAAGCATTCAGAGTTGAGATCAGATAGAATAAAGTCTTTGTTGATATCGTATCACATAAGTAACTCTCACCGTCACTTCCAGTACTCTTACTGTATTGCCTGTAAATATACATGGATATTTAGTGTCAGTTTAAAATAACTTAATGAACAATACAAATATGAGCTGGGTCGGATAGAAATTGACCTTATGCAAGCGCACATATACATGTGCATGTGATTGATTGTGGAACATTCAAATACAAAATATAAGATGCATTTTGGTCTGTTATGTAGGGTTCTTATATCAACTCATTTTTAAAACAGTTACAGACTTTACATAAAGATTTTTTCAACCCGAAATAAGTTAACACATGTATTGACATTCATTTGTATAAGGTCGATTTTTATTCGACGCAGCTCATATAATGATATTTTTACAAGTGAAGCATCACTACATATATTTTGCCATTTGATTGAAATACATATATCGCAAACACAGTACAGAAGAAATTTAAAATGCTGTTAGATATTTTATTTTTGTCTTCATTTGTGAATTAGAATAATTGAGTATGTATCGTGGTATATTTTTTTCAGACTTTCAATAGTACATGGATATGTGTCATTCATAAATCAACAACAAAAAAATCTCAACTTAATGCTCTTTCGAGCACAATTTATTTTGATTAACATGCCTTCTATTCAGTATTCTGTTCCATCTTAACACGCATAGAGCCAGATTTGATGTTTAAAATCATCTGATCTGATGTAATGAAGCAGAAAATTTCTGTCCTGAAGAAGTCCATGTTTTGTGTCCCTACATGTAAATACAGAAGTGACCCAAGTACAACAACCAGTAACATGGTTTGAAATAATTCTATCAATATTCATTCCATTCCTAAGAAAATTGTAGGAGAATTTACACAAACTACCCTATGCATTTTTAAACATGTTTGTAGAAATGGTATAGTCTGTATCTTTTCTATACAAAACCACAAAAATCAATCTAATCAAAAGGTGCACAATTACACATAGTTTGAAGTATTTATGTAATGTTCTGATCCATTCATTAAAATCATATGTAATAATACTCACTTTGAAGGTGATACTGACAGCACAGTTTGAGGTGGTGACAAAGCCTGAAGATCCTCTGGACCAACCCCACCTTCTGCACTGATCAATTTAAACAATCGTTTGTCATTTCCAGCCATCTTACATGAATAGCTCTCAATTCTTAAAAAGAAATATATATATAAATATATACAAAATGAATAACAAAATCACATAATGACATAATGACACAAACATGCATCAGTGAATGCTATCACATTTTGTCAATATGTGGTTTATAAACTACAAGTCTAGCAACATATCTTTTTTTTAAATTAATGATGAATTGATTGTTTTCTGTATGTGTAAGACTAAGCCATTACAAAGTAATTTATTATGTTAAAAGTACTGTATTATTCTATGCATGTACATTGTACCTGTTATCATAAATAGTCTCCCAGCTTATACATGTAAACAGGCTTAATTTTGAAAAAAAAATTTAAACATACTTATATGTGCATGCACATTTATTTATGCACAATATAATGATCATGATAATAACTGCAGTCATAGCAGTAGGGCATAATTCAAAAGAATTTCTAAATTTATTAAAGATAACTGATGAAAACTTAAAAGTCCAACATTTCACCCAATAAAGTTCTTTTTCAAGGGATATATATACAAACATGTACATTTGTAGTGCATGTCATGTAGTGAACAGATAATAGAATAAAAGCATCTGGACTAAATAATTCTTAACTTTTTAGACCCTGAACAATTTAGAGCACGACATACATGTATCATGTGTATTGCAGACACCTGTTGATAACTGCATGTTAATTCTTTTAGACCTTTTAGCCGTTTTAGGCATCTTATAGTTATAAGTGTCATATTGGTTGATGTCTCATTGAGTTATACCTTACATCTTTTTTTCATTCATAAATGATAACTGAATAACTAGGTCTTCAATTAGTCCAGATGCTTTTATTTTATTCCCTGTTCTCTGTATCCCTTTTTTAAACCTTTACGTCTGAACTATTAAGTTGTCGTTTTTCTGTTGTTCTTTTATCATGTTTATCTAAGAATTGAATGTTTAATTTATTTATGTAATTCTACTGGGGTGTAAAAGCATTGACCAAAGAACATTTTGTAAGATCAACGCTTTAACAATCCTATTAAATTACAACAAAGGAGCATTCAATTATTTTAATTACATTTTTATGCTTTAAACTTGATATTACAAGTTAAATCAAGCTTTTCATTTGTTTTCCAATACATTGTTTCCATGGATAGCACCTCCAGTCATATACATTTGTATATAATTATTAATATACATGTACATGTATGTTTAATTTTATTGGGAAATATGTCATGATTTTGGAATGTTTCATAATTGATGTGTGCCAATAAAACTTATACAATTTTATGAAACATATGTTTAATGTAATTATTGTTATGTGTCTTTTATGTTTCAAACAAGATGGTTGTACAATGTACCACTAAGTTCTTTATTTTTGTATTTCTGCCATTACTACATGAGAACATGTACTGTGTACTGTATATCACTTCACAAGAATTAATTATTAAATTACTAAATGTTCATAAATATTACTTCAAATACCCAAGCTACCACAGTAGTTTAATAAAATTTAATAAAATGGCTCTGCCAAAAAAAAAAATTTGTGACACATTGTTTATTTTCAAATGTCTATCACATGTAATGCACATATTGGCTGATATATGTGCATGTATGCTGAATGTTAAACACCCCCTCTAGATAGATATGCTGGTTTGTGCATTTAAATTCATCAGGTCACATTGTTTGAAACAGGTGTTTTCAATCAGATTGAGAACGGAAAAGTTGTCGCACAGATCAAAAGATAAGCGAAAAAAGGTTCAGACAATTTTCAACATCTCTGAAAAATAAATGTTGTATTTACAAAAATATATCATTTTAGGAGTAATGTAATTGCAGACTTAATGACAGTTTGCAGAATTGCAAAATGTTTAATATTTTGGGTAAAACACCCTCACTAACTTGTCGGTCTTGACTAGCAATTATAGAGGTCCTTCATCCTTCACTGTCCTGCTCCAAAAAATATGCTGGTCTTAGGAATGGTAAAACGATAATTCTGACTGATTAAAATTTTCTGACTCTTTTTTCACTTTTCTGCTCAGTGCAACAACTTTTCAATTATCAATCTGTTCGTAACCATAAGATTTTTTGCCTTGGAATTTAGAAGTTTTTGTTTATCTTATTTTAACTCACCTGCCCTCCAATTTATAGCTTCCAAGCTCTTGTGATAGAGCTGAATTTATTTGTTCAAATCTTGAATTCTCTAGCAGCTTCATGTTGGGCTGCTTCTTTCTTAGCTAATGCAATAGCCTCTTAAAAATATCTCAATCTCTTCTTCTCTCAATCAAATGAGCTGTGTTCAATTAAGGGTGACTGTTGATTGACAAATGTCACCTGTCCACTAAATGCAATTAACTTTAATTAGATAATTAGTTCTGTATACTAAGCGATCCACAAGGACGATTTAAGGATTGTTGACAATTACTAGGAGAAATGTTACTACTTTTTCTTCTCGTTGTTTCTACAGTCTGATTATAATAATAAAAATTGTCACTCATATCAACAACAAAACGATAATCAAACATTTTCATCTGAAATTTGATAAGAAATAACAATGAAAATAGAGTCACAATTGGTCTCAGTCCAGAATTATAGAAAGATTTTATACTACACTCGGTAGATAAAAAAGTATAAATGTTGGTTGTCGACTTAAATTTCAATAAATTATGAAATTTCCCTCTATTATTATTATTTCCTTATTTATTTTCATCTGTCCTCTTCTTAAAATAACCTTGACCTCATATAAACATATCCCAGAAGCCTTTTCGTCTATAGTCCGTTTCATACAAAATTGGACATTTCGTACCATTTCCATATGCAATTTCGTACCATTCCATTTTCGAACCAAAATTACCATTTCGTTCCATTGTAATTGTAATGTCATACAAATAACAAAAAATGTTATAATATCCGAGATAAAAGTTAAGATGTCTTATATTTTATACACACAGAAGAAGAAGTATACTTAACAACAAAATTATTTTCATTTACCTGTGTATAATATGACGCAGGTTTCTTCAAAAGTGATGATTTTCTATAAATTGTTTGAAATTTCACAGTGATATCATACTTTAACTTTGTTTAAACCTGTTTATTTACTTTTGACTTTAATTATTTATCCCTTGTAATTTTTTATTAACTGTGTATTTGCATTCAGGTGTCACAGGTCAAATTTATTCGTTCATTGTGTGTTAATTTACGTTTTTTGATTGAGTTAAGCCTTCCAATTGATATTTTATAGTGTGTTTTTCTATGTTGTGATGTTATACTATTGTTTCAGAAAAGGGAGAAGGTTTGGTACCATTAAAACGATTAATCCCGCTGCAAATGTTTGCACCTGTCCTAAGTCAGAAATCTGATTACAGTAGTTGTCGTCTGTTTATGTAGTTCATACGTGTTTCTCGTTTCTCGTTTTTATATAGATTAAACCGTTGGTTTTTCCATTTGAATGGTTTTACACTAGTAATTTTTTGGGGCCCTTTATAGCTTGCTGTTCGGTGTGAGCCAATGCTCCGTGTTGGAGGCCGTACCTTGACCTATAATGGTTTACTTTTATAAATTGTAACTTGGATGGAGAGTTGTCTCATTGGCACTCATACCACATCTTCCTATATCTTTATACTTTAATCATGGAAACGCACCCATTTAACAAGGTTTAGGATTTTTAATAACCGTTATTTTAAGACAAGTTTAACTCTTTTGTTTTATAACATAAGATGAACAAAGCAGATCGGTTTAATCTGGGAATCGTATACATGTACTAACAATATATTATGTCACAGGTTTAATCAAGCAAACTTCAATAGGTTTAATTTAGGCTGTATTTGTGGACAGAGTTTATCCTAGTTTATTTTTCAGCTCTAATAGAATGAGGTTAATTAACTAACAAGTGTCTAATTTGCGATAATCTGCCATTATAATCATTTTCAGTTGGGGTTATTTCAGGGTATACAGTGAAAAATAGGGACACAATCATGAATCTGAATATCAATCAAAACAAAAGACACGAAATTGCATGTTTGCAAACAAATATACACCTTACAACAACAATTTTAACATAATTCTTTTTTTTTTTTTACCAATTATGGACCCATAAGGGGCATAAGACCATACATATACAGGAAAAAACGAATATCGATTAGAAAACATACATACAATATAAATAGACAATTATAAAACCTACTTCACAGAAGTTTAGACTGTAACAGTGTCAGAAGCTTCCAATATACAATGCAATTAAAAGAAATCAAATTATCTTTAGCAAATTTTCCAACTTGTTCTAAATCTGATTTTCTTCACTGCTTAATAAATAAATATATTTTTGTTGATTGTCAAGTATTGAATAATTAGGAACTTTTTTGCTACGTGACAAAATCAAAATCAAAAAGAACGGATTTAAATTTATCACATGAAATTATGAAATGTTTTTTATCCTACCAGAGAAGCATTTTCACAAATTCGTTCGTTTCTTGGTATATTTGAATTTAAAACGGCTAAATTCAATTTGAAGGTTATGTGAAGATATACGTAATTTACATAGTGATCTTCTAACAATGTCTAAAATAAAAGAATTTTACCTATGAAAGACAATTTTGATAACCAAAATGTATTTTTTTTAATTCTAAATGATTGAATAGTTTCCCATCAGAAGCATTGATTTTGATTACATACCAGTAATTAGTGTATTTCTCATGTTTCAATTTGCTAGATATATTAGAAAATTGACACTGTCCAAATGTTAAAATTCTTGTTTGATTTAAAAAATAACTTTCAATAACTTTGAAATAAATGAGTACAAAAATGTCATGTATGATTATGTTATATGACTAATAAAAGAACTTGCAAAATGTTAAAATGTGAAATAAAATAGAATTGTATTTAGCATAGTAATATGCTCTTATAAATATAGTTGCTTTAACAAAACTGTATTTGCATTAACTATAGCTTGAAGTCACTGTCGATTTTCCAGATAACATATGCTTATTTTAACAAATTAGTTTCTGACTGTGAATTTATATATTAGATTTGCATTGAGTATATTTCCAAAGTTATATCATAATATTAACCAATAGTATGATGCAATGTATATATTGTCAAAATTTGGACATTATAAACCAAACGGTTACTATGAATACACACGTCGCTATTCCAAAGTGCACGTTTTATTCAGTAAAATTGTTTGCTAAATTATAACGTGATCAGTTTATTTCTGAATACATGCCGTTGCTATAGAATAAATGTTATATATATATATATCATCACGTCAAACAATAATAAAATTATGTTAACATGATAAACGCTCTTTTGCAAACTCATCTGTTGATACATATGGCCACATTACTTGAACAATTTACGCAAGTGTTCAAGGCGCATGTCTTCATTTACATGTATCTGCTTTTAAAATTTGAATAAATTGGTGCTGCTGTGAAGATCATTTTTGTCTATATGGCACGAAATGGTATGCTTTCAGAAAAGGGGTATATTGTGACTTGGATGGAGAGTTGTCTCATTGGCATTCATACCACATCTTCTTATATCTATATATGTAGAAATTACACTTCCAGGGATAAACACAATAATAAGAATTGTGAAAAAGATTAATAAATGTATAGAATGTACGCCAAAAGTGGCGAAAAATGCTGTTTTTTTTTCGTTTTAAAATGCGATTTCTTGAAATTTCGCCGGTCCACAGATTTATGTTTTTGTTGTGAACATTTCCGTTTATAATATGGAAATATAAGGGTAGAAATCTTTTTTTTATTCACCATACGATTCACACTACAACAACAAAAACAAAACAAAAAAATACAATTGGAGATGAAATTTCCTTCGCATATATGAAGCGGCTCAAGAAGTTTAATTTGTTCTCAACTTGAATTAGAATCTAAACAAGGTATATATTTGTTCTATAAAAACATGCAAATGCATATTGTCTCTTTAATTATCTATCGAGAAAATGCATAAGAACATTGTAACTCTGATATTTTTAAAAGATGTAAATCTTTGCTGATAATGAAACGTTTTTAACAAAAAGATACAGAATCTAAATCTCATTCTATACACTAATTGTAAGGATGTTCTTCATAATCCTTAGCATGATACAAAGTTCCCGAAATCTAGGAATAGTATATTAATTATGTTCTAGCCGAAATCTCAAGTTTCAAATACTAAATTTTTAATACGTCAGTCTACACTCATTGTCATTGGAAATTTCAATATAAAAATATAGTGTATGACTATAACGATTTAAGAGTTATATCTGTTCAGATAAAAAGTTAAATGTAAAAATAGATTTCCACAATTTATCATCTATTGAACAATTATTATATAAGGTCGATTTTGCATGCATATGTGCGATCTTTTCGATTAAACCGCATAAGATGTTTATGTCCAAAAATATGGTCCGTTTGAATTTTGCTAGCGACTTAAATTCAAATATGCTTATCTTTGCTGCATATTGAAATATTTTTTCTGGACCTTATCTGATCTATTTTCATACTTAAACGGATAATTGGTATGACTGAGTTAAGAATATAGGAATAGAAAATCGCACAGCAACTATTTTATACACAATGACGCTTTCATCGTGTGCTGTATTTAGATGTAAGTGACAACACTATGACAATTCTGTTTTATCGTTTTTTGTTATCATTATTACTATTTACTAGAGTTTACTTGCGACATTCAGTAGTGTCTATGCGGAGAACGTGCCAAACAAATTTTAAACCATTGAACTACTCGAGATCCAGCAACAAAAGTAACAAAAAAACCAAAATACAAACAAGCATAGTCGTAAAACAAAACAAATCACCACCGAACTACTTATTCTCAATTTTAGATCACCCCCTCAGCTGGATTCCACTGACTCACGACATCAACGCCCCCTGCACTGCGCATAAGATCACTCGACCAATTAGAAATGTCCATACTTTGACTTGCAGCTGATTTTTACATTTAAAAATCCAGAAAACCTGATAATCGGTTCATGTAAATATGCAGAAAACCAGATTATCGGTAATATAATTCGACAATCGACAGCGGTCACCTTAATTCAGGAGAGGGGATTCCAGTTTAAATATAGTTTAAATATTCTCAAACGGGCAATACACTAATTACTGCCTGTGTACGGTATGTCTCGACGAGGTTTGCTGCGTTGACTACTTTAGGAGTACTTCAAATTGTCTATCTTTGTACAGTTGTTTCATTTTCTAGCTGTCTAGTTATAAAAGATAATTGCTACTCGAATTTGACTGTAAAAAGTGATCACCTCAGTACAAGACAATTTGGAGAAGTGGCAATAATGCTCATACTTAGCCTAAACGTAAATGCAAATTTGATTTTAATCTTAATTTAAAAGTAACCCTACATGAGCCGATTTTGATCATGCAAAGAAAATAAAGCTTTTAAGAACTCCTTCAAAATTGATCATAATAAAGGGAAATGCATAAAATCAGGAAATATAAACGAATTAGACAAGAATAAAAATGTTATGAAGTCCAAATTACGTCATAATGTTCATGTATTTCATGAAAATAGGCTAAAAATATCATTTTTGCAACCATATATCTGTGTTATAATCACCCGAAACGACACAAATAATTTACATGCGTACTATCGAGTCTTCTTCGGTTGCTCTTTCGTTACTAATTTTCGCACCCCTTTCATCTGCTGATGTACACAGGGCGCAAATGCGCCATTTTTTTTTTTACAAAATCCAATTTTTTATTTGCGCCACAAGGTTAAATTTTA